CACCTTACCTTTGAAGTCATTTATATGGTGAAGTATCTACATATATTATCGTCTTCAACAAACCAAGCCACATAAACACTTAAAATCTATCAAAGTAGACAATATCTAGAGTGATGGATATAAGAAAACTTACAATTCTCTGGCTGTTTTGATTAAGATAGAATGTTTAAACTTGTGAAATCCTCATGATGCCCATACAAATCACTCAAAGATGATATGCTAAATCATATCATATTGAGTCTAATTTATCATGTTATATGATTTCAAGCATCATAGCTGGCCCTCTGTCAAAACTTTCACCACCCTAACCATATAAGCATATATGTGGTTTTAAATTGTAATAGTAAGTACATATGTCATCTATTTGTTTCACATTCACTCATATTCTAGCTAGGATTCTAGTATTTTTTCTTCTTTTTTTTTTATTTTTTTTTTCTTTTTTTCTTTATTTTTTTTTTTTTATTTTATTTTTCTAGGATTTAGTATGAAATATATATGAAATCATATCAAATATTTATGATTTATGTATCATCAAACATACTCTAAGAATTTTACATTGGTTTACAGAATTTTAAAGTGATTTTACGTATTATTAATCAATAAACATTATATCTATTTGAATTCAATTAATTGTTCCCATTTGATGAATGTTTTAGCTTCTTTGATTTAACAATATATATATATATATATATATATATATATATATCAAAGTTTATGATATTTATGTATCACTAAATAGACCTAATATATATATATATATATATTTTACATTGGTTTTCACTGGAACGTATTATATATGGAAAACATTGGGGGCTACTGTTCATTTTTCTATTTCTTTGTAGCTTTTGTGTTAATGACTCGTAATTGATCTTTTGTATGTGGCAGCTGTGAAGAAATTATTCTCAAGAATCAGTGGGCTGTTGTAGACTTCAGCAACGGCAAGATGGTTGAGAACTTTGTGGGCAATATTATGAAATATTGCTCTAAAGTTGGGACACAGCTGGAGGTTCCATTCATTAACATACCAGTTAGAGTAAAGGTCCTGTCTAACGCAATATTACTCGAGGATACGCTTAGAAAAGTTAGAGTCTTGGGGAAGTACCACAGTACACAATATTACTCGAGCTTCCTCAATCACTTTTCTAAGCGTATTCTCGAGTAATAAAAAAAAAAAAAAAAAAAACTAGAATCCTATTTAGAATATGAGTGAATGTGAAACAAATAGATGACATATGTACTTACTGATTACAATTTAAAACTACATATATGCTTATATGGTTAGGGAGGTGAAAGTTTTGACAGAGGGCCAGTTTTAACATGATAAATTATTAAAATATTTGATAATTGTCCTATGTTTTGGCTTGTCACGCAACATAAGACCGAGTACGTTGGTTTAAATAATTGCGTCAATGGCATAGCGTATTGCATCATATGATGAATTGAAAGCTATGGTTACAAAAGTTCACAAAGTAGATCATTTGAAAGTAGGTCGTTTTTCTGCATATAGTTTTTTGTTAATGAGGAAAATACAAAATGCAGTATAAAGTTTGAAGTTATGTTTACCATTATTAAACGAATAATGGTAAATAAATTACCAACTTACATATGTAATTGAAACAAATCCATCGTCGGATTTATTAAGGGTTTGAACATGTGTTTTGGCGCTACTCATCGATTTGGTATCATATTCATATGTAGTATTGAGTTGTTATGTTTGGGCGTTAACATCGTTACAACTCTCGCATCTTTATCATTCAAGATTATTATTTGTTTATAATTTCAAACTAAGCCATGAAATTGACGTACAAGATAGCCGATATTCACCCAGACAGCAGCTACGTTGTGCTGTGTTGTATTCATTATTTTCACTAAAAATAATATAAAATTAATATATATATATATATTTTATAAATATAAAAAAATCTATATTATTTTAAAATTAGCAAATTATATATCATATAATAATTTTATATATGGATTTACTACTATACTTATAACTATTAATAAATACATATTAATAAGAGAACAACTTTGTAACATACTAGATTTATATGATAATTATTATTTTATCATCATATCAATCAACGCCTTGGCGATATGTAACATTGCATTCAAATATATAGGTTACTTTTAGTGGTTTTCAAATGAATCACTTCAAATCGTAATAGTTTTCTAGACTCCCTAATAATATAATTGTATAATATTATAATATATTTTCTTATATCACACATTAGTAAATTAGATATATTTTTACCTATCACATGCGGTAATATAGTAATCATTTTCAAACTGTGATATCAATTAATATTCATTGTTTGGCTTCTTTAAAATGTTGGTTAGGTAATTTCAAATATATGAACAATAGGCAACCAAAAAACTTTAAGTATTATACTAATATTTGATTGTTTAGATTTTTATTAAACTGTCCTAGATTTTATTCAAATATTTTAAAATAAATATATTTATATATCAAAATAAACAGATGTTAAAATTATAAATTTAAAGTTTGACTATCAATTTATATAAATATATTATATAATCACTGATTTTTACTAAATTAATGATATATATTTAAATATTCTAAGTTTCTCAATTTTTATAAGACCATAATATTTCTATACCAAAAATTAGATTTAGAAATATGTATTTAATTCAAGTATTTCGTATTTAAATTATTTTATAAAAAAGTATTTATACTAAAAATTGTTATTTAATAATATTTAAATACTATTAAAAATCTTATAAATTTATATTGTTAAATTAGCCAAACTGTCAAGGAATCTTAAATCTAACCAAATACAATAAATGTAACTTTCATAAAATGCACACAAAATATAAGAAGAGAGAGAGTAGGCTTAGACATTCGGGTCTTCATGTTAGGTACGAATTGTTTTTTTCGGGCATTAATTTTTGGATCCTATACATTTAGACCTAAGTAGGTATTTGAATTTTTTTTTTGGTTAGGATTCGTATCGGTTCCTTTCAGGTTTTAATCAACAATAAAAATACCTATAAAATACATGTAATTTTTATATACCTAATAGGTCCAGATTGGTTTAGATATTTAGGATTCAAAAAAAAATTCGAAATATCCCAAAACTGTAAAAATACATGAAATACAAAAAAAATACCTGAAAATATTCAACTACTCACAGTCACTCGAATTTGACCCCATAAACAAACAAAAAAAAACACAATTTATCTGTATACCCAAAAATCTATTTTAAATTTTGAAAATTAACATGAAGCCTGAAACTATAAGCGAAAACCAAAACCTGATTTTTAAAAAAATTATTATAGTACAAAAACATATTTGTAATATCCAAATATATCTAATATACACAGACGTTTCATGTATTTGGGTACTCGATAAAGTCTCGAGTAAGATCCAATCTCGAACAGAGACCCGCATATCCAAAAATACTTAATAGGTACTTAATGGGTTTGGATCCGAACCAGTATCAATGCATCGTCAATCTGTCTATATTTTTAGTTAGATTTAAATAAGCAAAATAAATCCACGTTTTGAAGCGCGTGTCAAAATCTAGTTTTAATTATTATTTTATCATCATATCAATCAACGCCTTGGTCATAATATAAAATTTTACCAATATGAGGTTTTCATATGTTTCGAGAAGAGAAATTTACAAAATTATTAAAAAAAAGTGAGTTGAAATGAGACATGTGTTTGGCTTCAATTGAGAAAAATGCATATTGCAAACTTAACTTTTCTTAGTTTAAATGTATATATAGACTATAATGGTAGTTAGTCAACTGTTTATCGGGTGATTAGATAGTTGATATGGTGTTTTTAGTTAAAACGACATTGCATGAATAAGATTAAATGTAACAAATTTTATCATCTACGAATTGATAGCCTAAGACTTAGTTATCTTCATATACCATAGTTTTAGTCGGTTTAATCTTAACCAAACATTTTAAGTAGGTTAAACCAAAAAAGGAAACTGATTCTTTAAAACAAATGATATTCTTCAGTTGTCACGTAACTCCACTAAAACGGAAGACGAGTGTAGCAACGATAAAGATGACTTCCTCGTTGGGTTAACTCGCTCCCTCCACTCAGCGCCCCATCTTCCTATTGAGATTTCGAAAGCCCATGTCCAACTTTATCTTATCGTATTAGTACGATATTGTCCATTTTGGGCCTATGAGACTGGCCCGCATGGATTTACTTTTGGTTTCCTTCCCAAAAAGTCTCGAACTATTAGAGTTGGACTTCTCTTTCTATATTAGACACTCTTTGTCTAATTTTCCAATGTGGTACTTTGTTTATTATCTCACATTCTCCCCCTTAAACTAAGGACCACATTCATCTCGTGTACTTTGTCCTTTAGTGAATCATCTGGCTCCACTTTTGTACCAGTAATCGCAGGTTTTTCTTTGAGAATGTTTTTCTCACAATATCAGAGGTTCCATGATCTTCTGACAGTTTATGTCACGACCTCCTCTTCCTACTTGAAGGATCCTTATTCATATCTTAAGACTGTTTTGGTCTTCTTGCTTATCTTCGTCAAACCGCTCTGATACCAATTGTTGGGATTGCGAAAATCTATGTCCAACTCTATCTAATCTTATTAGTACGATATTGTCCGCTTTAGGCCTATGAGACTGACTCGCATGGATTTATTTTTGGACACTCCTTGTATAATTCTCCAATGTGAGACTTTGTTTATTATCTCACACCTCCCTCCATTGATTGGCTGACCATGAATCCTCATACGCTGCTGTGATTTCCGGTACTGAATGGATCGGATTTGACGATTTCCGTGAGTTGGCTGTGGGAGTTTGATGGGAGAAAAAGGTGACTCGATGAGCAGAGGGAGTTTCTGGATTTGTAAGAGAGGAAGAGACGGGCGGCAAGGTTATACGCCGGCGAGTATAAAACAGAGGATTTTAAAATCCATTGAGTTGATTTTTCTCTTGTTTTTGTCTGAATCCTTATCACCCAATTCAATTAAAAAATTCAAAACTGAATTTGATTAAAAATAGAGTTTTTCTTGGTTCATCTACCCAATAAATAATAAGTTACCATCCCAAATTCAGTTTTTGGAAGAAAAAAAAAAAGATAAAACTTTAGAAGTAAAATTATTTCAAACAAAATAAGGAAAACAAAAAAGTACGCTAAAGTTGTTTAACATCATGATAGATAGATGCGTCTTTTCTTCTTCATCGATTACAGAGAAAATAAATTACAGAAAAGACACCAAAGCTGTGTTTGTGATTTTCGCGTATCCGGTTCCATGCTTTCAAATCCAATTTTGAATTCACCTTGGACCAGCCAAATCCAACCATCTTCATCCATGACTTTTCTTTTCTTCCTGCTATTCGAATTACACTCTGTTTTTTTTTTTTGTTCTCTAGGCCAGGTAGTTCATAATATAGAAAGAGAGACAAGAAGCTGCGCTCTTACCTGTGGAGGTTTTGTTTAAACGTAAACCCACTGTTTCAAGTTCCTTAGTCACAATCTGCCTGTGACCTTTACTCTAAGGAAAAACAAATAGAGATCAAGAAACAGCTACAAATAAAAAACCATTGAGAACTAAAACTCTTACTTTGGAGGCATCAAGAACCATCAACACAAGGTCAGAGGACAATGCAACAGCAATAACCTGAGAAACAAAAAGTTTCAATCTACCTTTTAAGTTGAACTTTACTGTTGGAGGCTCTAAGAGCATCATTAACGCAGACGCTTAGGTGGAGTGCTTAATGATTTTCAGATTAAAAATAAATGAAAATAATGTATTAAGCTAAGCCATGGTGCTTAATTAAGCACAACAAGCACCGCAGCTTAGGGGACACGTGTCATTAATAACGAGTTGATGTCTTCTCCCTTTCTCTCCCTCGTTAAACTTCGTTTCATTCTTTCTCTCCCTCAGCAATTTGTGTTTCTCGATTGAAACCTCGACGGCTCCGACGTCTCCCCGATTTGTGTTTCTCGATTGAAACCTCCGGATCTCTCTTTCTCTCCCTTGACGTCTCCCCGATTCGGCCAGATCATGCAGATCCATCATCAGGCGTACGCACTAGTTACAACAAGTTCAACGGTGGAACGCCATCAATCTCAACGGTGGAGGTTGTATTTTGACTTTTTTTTATTATACTTTTTTGATCTCTGTTTTGGTGTGTTTGATCGGTTAGTTAGTGATGGTTTGGAGTTGTTGTTTGGTCTTGAGCTAAAAGACTTGATCTTTATGCCAACTTGTTGAGTGATGAGCTGAGAATTATAATAGACACAATTTAAAGTTTTGGTTTTTTTGTTTGTTCTTATGTGGTGGAGAATGAAAGTCGTTGACATTGTTCTTATGTTTATGTGTTGTGATCTTGACTTTTTGATTATTACTTGCAGGAAACAAACTGCAATGATAATGGAAGAGATAAGAAATCATATGTATGACTGTACGAGGCGAATCATACTTAGATAGCATATGTTAGGAAGCTTCTTAGGAGAAGTATACTTGAGGTCTAATGGAGTCTTTTAAAAATATCAAAAGCTTCAGGGTTGTTCTTTGGTCACAGTAATAGTAACAATGAGACTGTAAATTCTGAAGTTAACAACAAGGAGGAAGGGCAGCTTGAAGATCAAGATGAGCTTGAGGGTGGTGAATGATAAGCTCTGAGTTATTGAGAACTTAAATTCGATTTTGATTGAAAATGCAATAGCGTATTATATAGACAATGAGCAAGTCCTAGGTACAAGTAGATCTAACTAGGAAAGCTCACTTCTTGGGTTGCAGTGTTTTCATCTTTCTTCAAAGTTAGTTTATAGCCTGGTTATTAGGTTTGTGTATTAGAGGAGACATTGTTTTTGGTAATCAATTTTACAACAGTTCAGGGTGTGCTTAAGTGATCTTATGAACATAGTTCTACTGAACTTAACTCTTTTTTCAATGCTAGAATTTTGGTACCAAAAGGTTTGTATGTAGACGTATGCTCATTCTCATTATCACCAAACCCTTTCACCATTCTCACCAAAATTTAAGAACCCCCACAATAAGCAACTTGCATTGGAGACAAAAAAAATGAAAACTCTTAACTAAAGTGCTTAAGACATATTTATTACTAAAAAAAGGATTAAGCAACTCATTAGAAGTGCTTGGGTTGATGATGCTCTAACATACTTGTCAACTAAGTAACTATCAATATTTTTTTTTTCTTTTGATCATCATCTCTAAGTTGATTTAAAGCTAGGTAATCCTTAATTTTGCAAAACTGTTCCAGCATCTCTCTTTACTATTGATATCTAGATCTTGATCCGCACAACCGTACAGATTTTTTGAAAACTAAAATGTTTTACATTATACAATAAAAACTATTAATATATTAATATAATTTGATGTTATATATTACATAACTTTATAAATATATTTGTGTGGCTGATAATATCATTAATATAAAACTTATAAATTTGTTTTTTGTAACAATCAAAAAAAATATTATGTAACGGTAATATTGTTTTGTTTCTAAATTAGAAATATATGTAGAAATTAAATTAAGTAGGACATACATAATAGAGAAGCATTATATTTCTAAAATAAATATTTTAAATTATTTTAATTTTGTTATAAATCAAAAATGAAGAATTGTTTTTAATTATATTTTCTTATAACTAAATTTGAAATAACTAATTTTCGAAAATATATTTAAAGAAATCTAAAATATCTTACAAAAATATTGTTAGAATTTTCATAAAAATATTTTTTATATTTCAAATAAAATTAAAGATATGAAAAATATTATATAATGATGTTATATAAAATTTAATAAATTTTCTAAAGATGATTCAAATTTAAAAAACACACGTAAAATGAGTTATGACTTCTGTTTTAATATAATAGATTCTTTAAAGTAAAGAATTGAAGCTTCGAAAATCACAAACACAGCTTTGTCTTTTCTCTGTAATCGATGAAGAAGAAAAGCATCTACCATGGCGTTAAACAACTCTGCCGTAATTTTTTTATTGTTTTTAAAAATTGTGAAAATAATTCTATTTCTAAATTATTTTTTTCAAAAACTGAATATGAGGTGGCAACTTATTATAGGTTCGGGGGTGAAGTCAAAAATAAATTCAATTTTATTGTGGGATTTGTGTTCAAAAGTATTTTAACTCATTAATTTCACTAGTATTTTAAGTCATTAATTTCACTCGCTATAAGAATGAAAGACGATTTGAAATATAAACAATGTGATATCACCAGAGAGGAAGACAATACATATTAAATTCTAAAACTAATTAAAAAGAAGAGATTTTTGTTTTTTTGAACAAAAATGTAAGAGATTATTTTTGTTCTTTTGGTAGTTTTACTACATGAGTTTTAGTAGAAACATCAAAGCAAAACCACAATCACAATCAAACTTTCTATCTCATGAACGTTGACCGATCTCTTCTTCCTTGAGACTCTCCACGATCCGCATGCAGACAGTTTGGATTCTCCTTGGTGACTTTCTTTCTCCTTACAAGCGTATCAGAATCAGCAATCCCAAGATTATTAAGTGAAACTAAATCTTCAGTTATGGAATCCACAGAAGTAATGAAGTCGGTTTGGTACTTTTGAGAAATTGCCACTATGATCTCTGGAGTAATTGCATCGTGCAGAATGGTCGTGTCTAGAATCTTGACTATCTCCGAGCTCACTAGGTTTCCTGGACGCAAATCTACACAATCTTTGTCAAACTCCTTCCCAAATCTTTGAACGAACAAGCTCCTAATTATTTGAAGCTCCCTAAGCTCGCCGATTCTTGATGCCGAAAATATCAATCCGGCCATTGCTTCTTTAGTTTCATCTGGTAAGAGATGAACATCGCTGTCGAGAGAAACATAAGTGACTCAGGTTCTGGAACTCTTAAACTATTTTTATTGAAACCGTGTGATGCAAGTTATCAAGAACAACTTACCTTTGATGAAGTAGAGGAGAAAAACTCTGAAGTAAATATGTGCACACGTACTTGACCTGGTCGTAAGCCAATAGCCTTCTCTCATCTTCATAGAACTGCTTCGCCTACAGTTTCAATTTTAAACCCTCAATGATTAATTTAAGGTAAATAATAACAAATAAGGCAGGTAGTGATCATCGAGATTTATATATTCTCATATATTATTACCTTAGGAAGTGCTTCCCTAAAGCGACCGTGTGGAACGAGTTGGGCAATATCGGACCGGGACTGTCGAACCATACACTCTCTTCGTGTTCGTTGCACTTTGAGAGAACATAGCAGATTCTGGAGATGGAGTTTGCTACAAATAAGACAACATATTAATTTAAAAAAAAAATGAACAAGAATCATATAATCATTATCTTCAAACGCAAGTAAACGTTTCTTACCACTTGGAAGCTTTTCTCCATCTTGAGGGGCGAGACCAAACAGCAAAAACATTACAATAGCATCCGAACTTTGGTTCTGTTTTCTTGGGAAACATAATTGTTTTTCCTCGATAGGAAGGTGAAGAGAGCCTTTTAAGTTTTAAGAATGATCTAAGAATCAGATGTTAATATCCATTGTAAGAAATCTGTTATATATAACCCTTGAAAAAGGGTAATTAAAAACCATTTAGGATTATGATTTACTTATATCGTATTAAATCTGTAAACCCGTTTTTTCTTTTCCAATAGGGAATATGAAAAGGGAATCCAAATCCATTTAACGTACGTTATTTTAACAGATGATAGTACTCTACATCAGTAACTTCATGAAATTCATCTACCAGCGGCTATTCAATCGTCGCTGGTGTTTTTTTTCCCTTAAAATAATTAAAGATATCAAAGCTTAATTAATTGACTAATTAATTAAATCAACATTATGTGTTCTATCATTGTAATACCTATGATGAATTGGAAAAAACTCTCTATTTCCTTAAACATCCAGAATATATCATAGACACGATATTCATCTATACGATCCAACCAAAATCATATCAAATCGAAACAAATAAATTATTTTCCAAAACAAACAAAAAGCTAAAAGACTGTAAAAAGACATAATAGTTACGGTATCTTTTAAATTTATTTACTACACCTAAATCTTACACACTTATAGAAACTATGCCCCTATATAGAAATACATATATTTCTCTTTGTCTCAAATAAGTCAAAACGGACCGATTATATTTGCGATATTGGGGGGGGGGGGGTAATAACGCAAATACCAATCTTTGAAATTTTAAGAACTTCATGATCAGACTCGAGCCCAACTATCGTAGCAATATGGGCCTCTTATGGGAAGGTATGATTACAAAAACAATAAGATTAATGCCTGAAAAAAGCGTTGATAAATAAAAAAAATGCGGATAACCATCTCAATCTCGGCCTTGTCCGCCACAATGTCTGCTTTCTGCTATCCAAAATAGCTCTCTGGAGTCTAGATCACGCACTCCAAGAACGGAATGAAGCTGTTGATGCTATTGTTATAAGTGTTACTCGCGATACATCTTCTTTTTCTCTTAAGATTCTCTATCATTTTGTATTGTCTCGAATATTTTTACGTCTCAGTGTTATAAAATAAAAAATAAAAAAATGCATGAAAAAAAAGCTATCAATCAATAACTAATGGTACTTAAAATTACTAAGCAAGACAAAGATCATCATTATGCGTGCAGGACTAGTTTAAAATTACAAAGCGGAAGTACCATTGACCAGCAATCTTTGTTGGTTTATAATTATTGGCCATTTCTGAAAAGACAACCGACAAACCGGAAGTACCAGTTGCCGGTAAAACCGACGTGTATGATATAATGATACAGCAGTCGCCAGCTGAGGCGGGTTAGATGTAGACCACTCAAATTGTCTTGGTGAAAAAAGACTACGACCTTTAAACTAATCCTTATTTAAAAAAACGTTACTAATCTTGCCGACTTTTCATTCTAATCATTCTTATAACTCCTTTTCGTTTTACTAAGGTTATGAATGGAAAGGCAGAACAAGTGCAGATCTCCCGCTTATGCAGTTTTCCTGCACTGTTTTTGCCATTCATCATTTTCTGTTTCTAAAGGCAGTTCAAGCAGGAGATCTGCATGTAGTTCAATATTTTCTGTCTTTTTGTGAAAAAAGCAGGAGATCTGCATGCAGATCTTACCCGCTAACATTTGTAGGTGTTGATCTGCCTTTTTCACTAATAAATGATTTTACTATAAACACTAACTTTAAATATATTTATCTGATTTTATAAATAATGTACAAAGATTAACTTAAACTATATAGTTCACACCAATATTATTTGTGTCATTTTAAAATTATAAATATGACATTCAATCGCCTACAAAACACAACATTTTCCAAAGAAAAAGATATAATTTTTCTACATAAAATGAGTATTTTATTAAAAATACAAATCTTTCTATATAAATATCAACAAATAGTTTAATATTAATAACATGCTAATTCTTCAAAGATAATTTTGTTCAACTAAAACATAAATAAAAAAAATACAAGCATCTTATGAAAAATTCAATTAATATTTCGGCTGATCTTACAACATATAAGATATTTATTTTGATATTTTAGGATAATTTTTATTGTTTAAATATATGATTTATAGTTTTGAACTGATTTTATCATTCATAATATATAATAAATAGTTTGATCTGCATTTCTCCTGCATGATCCGCTTGATCTGCACTTGTCCCACTTGATCTGCATCTGTCCTGCTTGATCTGCATGAACCGCTTGATCTGCACCGCTTGATCTGCTTTTACCATTCGAAGCCTAAATAAACAAACATTTATTGTCAACTGTTACCATCTTTCTTTGCTACCTTCAAGAGAAAGAAAGAAAGATCAACTCATAAAAAACTGCTTGAGAGAAAGAGAGTGAGCTCTGCGAATACAATCAAATGGCTTCGAAGCTTGTAGTCATAATTGTGTTCATCCTCGATCTCATCGCCGTTGGTTTAGCCATTGCCGCTGAACAGAGAAGAAGTGTCGTAAGTCCCATAACTCTCTCCTCTTCTCTCCTTAGCTGAATGATAGGTTTTGGTTTTAACTCATCTTGAAAATCTCTCGACTAAAAGTAGTTCTTGAAAATTTTCTTGTTCGTTTCCTATTCAAGAAAATGTTAAATGACACGTGGAAACAAGCAGTAATAGAGAATTATATCATTTTTAGATTTTTAGAAGAACTTGAAGAATACAGATGCATGTTTTTGATTAATGACCTAGAAAACTATTCATAGTATGTATTGGCTCTGCAGAGTTTTCTTTTATAAAAAAAAAGTAGGCATTGTTTTGACAGGGGAAGGTTGTAACGGACACTGAGAAGCAATATGAGTACTGTGTGTATGGCACGGACATTGCTACAAGCTATGGAGTTGGTGCCTTCCTTCTCCTCCTTGTTAGCCAAGTCCTTATTATGAGTGCTAGCCGTTGCTTCTGCTGTGGGAAGTCTCTTAACCCTGGTGGTTCAAGAGCTTGTGCCCTCCTTCTCTTCCTCATTTGCTGGTACCAACAACATAAAACTCTTCCTTATATATATGTCTTTAACACTCATATAACAGTTCACCGGAATGTGCCGGGTTTAGTGGGTGGGCGAAAGGTTTAATGGGTGGGCGAAGGTGGTTTTGTAATACTGTACATTGACTTAAGAGTTTTTGTTCAATTTGGGCTTCTAACCGGATCTAAAATTCCCGTTCTCGGGTTAAATTAAATATATACAGTATATATTAAAAATATATATATATTGTGGTATTGATCATTTGATTACAGGGTATTCTTTCTGGTCGCTGAGGTATGTTTGCTTGCGGCATCAATCAGAAACGCGTACCACACACAATACAGAAGAATGTGGAACATTGATAACCCACCGAGCTGTGAAGTTATAAGGAGAGGTGTGTTTGCAGCTGGTGCTGCGTTTACTCTCTTCACCGCCATCGTCTCTCAATTCTACTACGTTTGCTACTCTCGTGCTAGAGATGCTTACCAGAATCCTTCCTACTAAAAACATGCAGAACTGAAAACATGTCATACTTTCTCAGCAAGCTACGTTTAGGCATCGAGAGTTGGAAAAATATATTCATGGTGGGCAGTGAGTTTTGTTAGTTTTTCAAGTGTTACTTATCAGATGTGATGTTACAAAATTTGATGGTGTCTTGAGGATGATACATTGAGAAGTGATTGTTTCTTGTGATCGTATATTGTCGTGTGTTATGTAGAAAACATGCTTTTGTGAATCATTGTTTTCTTTTGGTTTTGGTGAATGTTCTGGGTTGGTTTGGGAATTGAGCTAGCACTGAAATTTTTCCGGTTAAGTTCTGCTTTTGTGAATCATTGTTTTCTTCAACTATAAATCTCATTGATTCACACTAATCAATGTTATTCACAAGTTTTTTTTCAGTTTTGTTACCATTTCCTATTTTGGATTCTTTTGAATTCGAGCTTCCAGTAGATGGGTTTATATCTTGTTCGTATTGGGTTGGGCTTTTTCTACCGATGGCAACATCTCTTTCGGTATCAAATGCCAAGTTACATGCACAACTATGAGCCCAACTTGTAAGAGTACTTGCTGACTAGCGACTACGCTTAGACCCTGGAAAATCAAAGTCTAATTTTCAATTCGTTGTTGTAAATTAAATATGAAATACCGAATATCACAGTAAACAAGTATTGACAATTTAGCAGCAAGGCGTTAAGACTTTAGTATAGCCATAAGCAAAAATCAAAGTAAAAAAAATACTTGGTGGCAGAACAATAATAATCCAACATATGCGTTATCATAGCACATGACCACTAGTACATTATGACAGAAGATACCAATTTACAAAGGAATAAAGGATGTCTAATAACGTATATTTAATTCAATAATATTAGCGGAATATTTGTAATTTTGAAAACTGAAATATAATATGGGCAATGAGTAACTTTCATTTTTTTAGTTAATAGAAAGTAAAACCTTATTATTTAGGTTTTGTATGTTTTAACCAAAAGGGCAAAAACTATCATGCTCCATGCCTCCAAATACAAACTTAACACTTCAACATGCACGTTCGCATACATATTCACATCTAATCATACAATACATTGTATATATAGATCGCTTGTATCCACATATTACACGTACGTAGTTACGTATGTTTGTCATGTGGGAAAATGCGTTTTGCATTTCTTTATTCGTTAAAATTTTAAATTTCAGAGGATCATCAGAGCGAAACTTAATGATTGCTCACACTCATTTGTCCTTTGTTAGATCTCCGATACTTTTAAGCCACATTTTCCTCTGTACTTTCTCTTAATTTTATAATCAGTTTAACATCTTAAAAACTGGCTTAAGTGTCTTCTCGGATACTTGAGTAGTCACCTCCAAGTAATTTTAAAAAGACAATGTATTACCGTGACTTGTTAGTTTAATGAACTGCCACGGATAAAAAATATTATAAACAATATAACCACCAAAAGACCTATCTGATGAGAAGCTGGAAGGTGCATGTCGGTAAATGTATTTTTCTCTGGATTGTTTTTTCTTGTTTAAAAACAAAGTAAATGTCGTATATCCTGCCGTTTTATGTACACATGGGCTCGGATATCTTTTTGTTACAGAAATGCTTATAATATCTTTTCTTTCTTTTGGGGTCAAACAGTATGTTTATAATAGGAAAAATTTCTAAAATAGCATTTTTTCGAATTTATGTTATAAAAATAGTTCTCAAAAACTAAAATGACCAAAATAACATTTTTTTGAAATTTTTTTAAAAAAATATTTTCAAAAATTGAAGTGTTACCCCTAAAATCCAACTCCCCAACTCTAAACTTTAAAACCTAAATTCTAAATTGTAAACTCTAAATTATAAACTCTAAATCCCACACCTTAACTCGAATCCTAATATCTAAATTAATTTATCATTGAGATATAGATGTATATTTATCTCTTTTGATAAAACATTAAATGTTATTTTAGTCATTTTTATAATTAAGTGCTATATTTGTGACAAAAAAATAGTACTATCCTAGTCATTTTCTTTTTATAATATCTAAAATCTAATTTAGAGATATTTATTTATCAAATAACTTAAGTGATTTTGTGGTTTTCTCGATACGAAAAAGTGTAGATACGAAAGAGGGTCAATCTTAATATTTTTTTTTCGATACGAAACAGTATGCTTATGTTTTTTTTTCCTTAATGTATAAACATTAACGTATAACTTTTTTTTAAAACTATGAGGTATTCTAAACTTATAAAAACATTTAGATTAATCTTCAGATGGAGGTATAATCCATGTTTAAACATTAACCTATAATTTTGTATTAATTTGAAGTATTCTAAATTTATAAAAAAAAGTTAGACTAATTTCTAAAGGGGATACAACCTACTATTCATTTACGTAGAATCACATTATGTAAATTGATATTCCTATTTGTTTAGTAATTCCACTTGGGTACAAAATTTAGTCATTATAGAGGATGAACAACCTACTATTTCTATCCAAACAAAGCTATCTCAATTCTCAAGTGTTTGTGTAGTAAGATGAGGGTCGACCCGACAAAGAAATATATGGTCAAACCCTACTTTTGCCCCAAGACAAAAGAATATACTATAAACGGAATCATTTACGCAATTTTATATTTGTAGCAGATAAAAGAACACACAAGATCACTGAAAAAATCAAACATTTGAATAAAGATAAGTAAAAAAGGAAGTACGATCATTTTTGCTTGGTCATAATTTGTCATCGCGTCCGTCAATACTTACGAGTGACATCAACGATATATTTGTGAAGGACTTAGCTTTCACAAATACAGACACTTCGACAATATTTGTGAATGGCCTCGATATAAATCTATAGAGAAACAAAAGCCAATCTATGTATTGTCACGTGTGGAAAAATGAATATGTTTTGCAAAAAGAAACAATTTAAAATGAATAATGTATAATGTTGATTAATTATATATGTTATAACTTACGACAACGAATGAATAAAGTTATGCCAACGAGTTCTAAATACTTAAATAGATGTTGGTGGGTGAGAATGATTCAGACTATTTAATTCCTAACGGTTTTGTGTATCTTTATTGATAATATTTGGGTGAGAATGATTCAGACACTCAATGTGTTCTCTCTTTGGTTTCGAAAAATTGTATTACTGTGGTGTAATACTCGAGGTTTGGGTTCAGTTTAGTTATGACAATTATTTTGGGGTTCTTTTTAAGGGTTTATAGTGATTAAAACCTCCAACTATTTTTAAATCGGATAAAAAACCTTCAACTAAAATTTTATGTTTTTAAACCTCCAACTATTAAACCGTTAATGCCGTTAACCTTCCGTTATCAAAATCGTTTTTTCTTAGCGCAGACCCGTTAAATCGAAACACCGTGTTTCATATAATTTCAAAAACGACATAAGGTTCTTACTATCAATATATATTTTAGTGATTTAAACCTCCAACTATTTTTAAATCGGATAGAAAACCCCCATCATAAAATTTTATATTTTTAAACCCTCAACTATTAAATTTTTAAACCCTATTGCTTTTAACCCTCAGTAAACAAAGTCATATTTTCTGAATGAGAAACCGTTAAATTGAAACACAGAGTTTCATGTTCATATAAACGATATAAAATGTTTAAACCCCCTATATCAATGGGCAATGACAATCACAATTCATCCTTAAATAAAAAATTAAATTTCTTTTTCCTTTTCATCGAAGGTGAGGTAAGTCCAAAAGTTCTATTGTTTCTAATTTTAGGCTATGATTGTATGGCACTTATGGCGATATATTTTAAGTGTAAAACATATTTACTTTGACTCCAGCTAATATTTAGCCAATCAGGTGAAAAAATTTCATCTTGCGTTTTCGCTAGTTACTGTTGAAACATAGTAAATTGTTTCATTTTTCTCTCTTGGTTTATGCAGAGAAATATGTGTTGCGCTGGCTTTTGTATTGTTTTCCACTTTTTATTTTCTTCTGTCTTTCACCTATTTATTTTACTCTATTTTATCTTAATGGCCCATCGATCATTGCGCAAACATTCCGAAATTGACGCTCAAAAAGCCATCATCTCGAGAGACGTATTAGGGACAAAGGTCACACATCGGTTGTTGGAAGAGATTATAAGCAATATATAAGATATATGAGCTACTCCACTTATTACCAATCAGTTTTAGATTGGAAGCCCATCTACCTTAACATGGTATCAGAGCCCATGATCCACAAAGTCCAACCCGATCCTTATCAATCCAGCTCAAATTCGGCTCATCGGTCTTTGCCCGAACATTTAGAGATTGACGCCAAAGAGCCATCATCTCGAGGGGGCGTATTAGTGACAAAGGTCCCACATCAGAAGTTGCAAGAGATTATATCTAGTATATATGATAGATGGGCCACTCCACTTATCACCAATTGGTTTTAGGTTGGAAGCCCATCTACGTTAACAGTACGCAATCAACCTTAATTTTTTCTCTTCTATTCATTTTTTTTATTTGAGGATGAATTGTGATTATCATTTCTTATTGATATAGGGGGTTTAAACATTTCATGTTGTTTATATGATTACATGAAACTCTGTGTTTCAATTTAAGGTTTTCCGTTCATAAAATATGACTTTGTTTACAGAGGGTTAAAAACATTAAAGGTTTAATAGTTGAAGGTTTAAAAAATATTAAAACAAATTGTTAGGGGTTTTCTATCCAATTTAAAAATAGTTGGAGGTTTAAATCACTTAAATATATATTGATAGTAAGAACCTTATGTCGTTTTTGAAATTACATGAAACGGTGTTTCGATTTAACGGGTCTCCGTTAAGAAAAAACGATTTTGATAACGGAAGGTTAACGGCATTAACGGTTTAATAGTTAGAGATTTAAAAACATAAAATTTTAGTTGGAGGTTTTTTATCCGATTTAAAAATAGTTGGAGGTTTTAATCACTATAAACCCTCTTTTTAACAACTCTCGGTTACAATACAAGCATTATTCACTGGAAAACAGTATGGGGAGTGGAAGAGGGACGTGGCTGATCTGAAGACGTACTGACAAGTTTTTACGACTTCAATGGTCGACGGCGACACCCTATCTATCATACTCTTTTTATATGAAATTTCAATTTGTTTTTACATATTTCTCCTTTCTTTATAATATCACTCGAATTATTACTTATATATGGCAGTCCGGTTTCAAGCTTTTGAATTTGACCCAACGAAAAGTTTCACTTTAAACACAGCTACATAAACAAACAAGAAATTTTTAATATCTTTTTCACCCTTAGACCATCTCTTAGCCCATCTCCAATGGTTTATACTATTTTTTACTCTACAATAAAGTAGTTCGTTTACTTCAATGATACTTAATTTTAGAGTGAAAAATAGAGTGATGAACAAAAAAAAAAAAAAAGTTACTCTATATTTAGAGTAAATCTATATTTCACTCTATTATAAAGTGAGATATAGAATAACATTAGATCATTTTTATTCTAAAACTCTATTTTAAAGTGAAAAAATAGAGTGATGTTGGAGATGTTCTTTGAAAACTTAAAACCCACTTTTACTTTTGCTTTGTCTTTGTTTCTCTTCTGATTTTAAATCAAATGAATGATAATGTTCTATAATGTTATATATACGGTCGAGATGGGTAGCTTTGTGATTGATTTGAAGTATGCAATGCTATGATTTGAATAGCTGCCGGGATAAATCAATCATAATTTCAATTAGTATATTAACAAGTAATTAAGATAGTTTTAGATATTTGGTTTGAATAGTATTGTTTGGTTTAATCACATCGACAGATTAAAACGCTGCATAGATAACTAAGTGCAAACTTTGTTTTTTGTCTAATGGTTTCCATACTAAGTGCAAACTTTAGAACCTTTAGTTTCGATGCATTCATGCTTAATGGACCAATCATGCTGTTTACGATGGTTTCCATCGTTTTTTTACCTACACACATTGTATAGATCCGCAGAGAATTGCAATAATCAAAAACCTTTTGTTTTTTTGCTGCTTTCACTGCGATGTGTACTATCAGAATTAGCTCAACAGCATTCAGACTCTTGCATTATCTTCTCAATGTTATGTCACTCGTTAGCTTCGGATTCGCTCTGACATACCTATATCCAATTTGTCAATTTTAATTTATTGAAGGTATATGTGGTTATTAAATACTAAATAACGTAAATAATGCTGTAAATGCGTTAAACCAAGAAAAAAACACAAAACATCAACAAGGGAGAAAACACACAATTGTGGGAAGAGAGCTCAGACATTCTTCAGAGACTGACTATTGAAATAGAAAATTGCATTGTGATTTATTGTAACCACGTTTTCACCTTTTTATGTGGTCTATAGTACAACTCAACAATCAAACAAAACACTGTAATGCAATATATTAGGGATATTAGCATAAATAAAGTTGTGAAAATTACATAAAGCAATCACATGCTTCACGTCAAATCTTCACACTGTTACTAATGTGATCGCATGAAATGATCTTTGTGTCACAACAAACAAAATCATTTGATGTTTAAAGAACAAGATCTAAAAGTAAATCTGTTGGACACATATTGATAATTAAGAAGAAAAGGAAAACTAAACTAACAAACCAATGAGCCAGTATGAGCTAGGATTCCACTTAACTTCCACAAACAAATCTACCTCTCTTTTTTGTCGTCCGCATCTAAAGTTTAAATCCGTAATACAAAAATAATAATAATTACAGCTCGTGATTTGATATTTTCATGTCTATGTGTCTTAAACATGTTTATACTCGTGGTCGGTATTATCATTAGTTGTCATATGTTTTTTGGTTTCTTCCTGTTAACGTTTGCCAAATGTTTACTCTCTTTGATTAGCACATATAATAATAGGATATTAATCAGTAAAACAAAAAATGGTACGGGCACGAGAGAGAGAGAAGAAACGGGATGTAATGTTAAATAACGGTGGGACGGGGAAAGTAGAGTAGGGAAGGGGGCATGTGTTACTGCTTAGCTGTCCTCTTCTCTCTGCATTTACTCTTTGTGGGCCTTAAGGCCCATTTCTCCTCCCTCTTGTTTTTTTTTGAGAAATTTGCGCTCCTACCAAAGAAGTTTGCCATAATTTGCAAAATACCAAAGAGAAAAAAGACACATTACTGTACACAAACAAAATGACTCTGTTATCCTTTTCTGAATTCTCCTTTCACCTGACCAACTCCAGCGGGCAGCCACATGTTTCGACAGAAGAGAGTGAGAGATACACAAGATATTCCATATCTTTATTGTCAGTACCTTTCTTTCTCTTTCATCTTTCATCTTTCATCTTTCATCTTTCATATCTTTCATCTTTTATCTTTCATCTTTGTTTCTCTTTCTTTCTCACCTAGAAACAATTTGTTCTTGAAAAATTTATAGGACTTGGAATTGGAACTCCTAAGATTGATGAAGTTTTTTTCTTTGTTGCAATTCTCTTTTGGATTTGACAGAGATGATACATCACTTAATTATTTTTCAATTTGAATAAAGCTTGACAACGTATTAGACATAAAATATAGTTGCATTATCTGAAAACAAATTTCTTAACTTATTATTTATTTAGTGTTTACATCATCAAAATTTTAGTATTTGGTTAATCAATATATAGATATGCGACGTATTTTGTTAGCCGGCTATACTATTATTTTTATTTAGAATGCCATATTTTTGTACCCACATAGGTGTTTAAAAAACATTTTTCAATTTAAATAAGAAAGTTTACCTAGTTTGACAACATATTAGACATGAAACATAGTTGAATTACTCAGAAACATAATTTCTTAACTTATTTTTTATAATGTTTACATTAACAAAGTTTTTTGTATCTGGGTAATCCATCTAATAGATGTGCAACATATATTGGTTAGCCGGATAAACTATTTTTTCACGTAATTTTAAATCGTAGCCGGCCAAGTGGCCGAAGCTATCCTATATTTATATATTGGGGGTATTGGACGAGTACCAAGGATTTAGGAGCAATTGTAATATAAGGGATTTGTGTTAAGGAATTAGGGTTGGGAGATATCCATGGGTTTGGGTTTAAGAATTAGGGTTTAGGGTTTAAGAATTAGGGTTTAGGGTTTTGCTTTTAAGGTTTAGGTGATACGTTGTACTAGTTCAGGCTTTAAGACTTGAGGGTACATGGTTTCCCCGTTTTTTGTTAGGTTTATACTTGACCATTTGCTAGATGAGTAAAAGGTTATATGTGACATTATTTATAATCGTATCCGGCTATGCAAGTTATTATCCATCTAATATGAATTTGTAGTCGGCCAAGTGACTGAAGCTATCCTATATTTATCTGTTAGGGATATTAGATCAGTTTTAAGAGTTTCACCATTCGGGAAATGGATTGAGATCGTTGAGAAACCTACTTTAATGATTTAGGGGTTAAGATTTAGATTGAATCGTATCCGGCTATGTTAGTTATTATCTATGTAATATGAATTTGTAGCCGGCCAAGTGACTGAAACTATCATATATTTATCTGTTGGAGAAACTAGATCAGTACTAAGGGTTTCACCATTCAAGAAATTGATTGAGATCATCGAGAAACATATTTTAATGATCTAGGGTTTAGATTTAATCGTTTCCGACTATACTAGTTATTATCCATGTAATATGAACTTGTACCCGGCTAAGTGGTTGAAGTTATCCAAATGTAGCAATAATCTATTGTCAGAGACAAGTGGAAAATTTGGGAAGGCAAAACATCCACCGGGCAGGACAATTTCGTCTTTTTAACTCCACTACAGTGACCACGTGCACCCTACTTTTCTTCTCTTTGGTATTCTCCTAATTTTGCAATCTTTCTTTGGTTTTCACCTAATTTGCTCTTTTTTTTTTCCATTATTTTCTTGTTTTTAATTTCATTTTCCATTTTATGAAACGAAATAAAGTGATAAAACCTCGTATAATCACTAAAAGATTTCAGCTTTGGGCGTTATTTATGGTTGTTATTCCTTTATATTTTTTTTTGTGGGCCTTTGAAGCGAAAGATGTATAGATTGTGTTAATCATCATCTTCTTGAAAGTTTATGTGATTTGATATGTTGGATGGTTAAATCGGTTAATTGATGGTCTAGTTTTGTGATGTGATACTCACACTTTGTAATCCCATTGTACTGTTTTATTTAATACACCAGTATATTTAACATTAAATAAACTCCAGTCACAGTCCTGATGCTATTTGCTAGATGAACATTGCAAAGTTTCATTTCATGTATAACTAGATGACAATTGGGTTCAAAATCAGTTTATGTACACAACTAGAATAACCTTTCAGAAGCATTGCTTTTGACTTTAAGCTTTTACGAACTATCACTGTAATTATTTAGTTATTTAAGTTGATTGTACTTAAATTCATTATTTGTTGATTCATTAGTCTGCACTCTTCACTATCTACGCATATCAATAAAATATTTCTAGAAAAAAAACAAAATAAATTATCTGAACCAGAAAACCAGCAAATTCAGTGTCGGCATTTTATCAGAAGTGTTTTTATTAAGAACACTTGTCGTATCATATATAAAAATGTAACAAAAAAATACAAATATTAAAATTTCTGTTAATAAATAAAATAAATAGATGATCAAGAAAAATAAATAAAACTTGAAATGACAGTATGCTACACGCCTTTCTCTTATCACACCTAAACTTTATATCAAATGATCAAATCCAATTTATTATGGTCTCTAAGCAAACATATGGCAATTACATTATTGTCAATTTGCATATCAAATACCTTCTATATTGTCGGAAGATTAAATATTAAATATTAAAGATCTAATTTCATACACCTACAAAGTGCAAAGAGGCAACAAAACGAAAAACAGAGAGAAGAGAGAAAAAAAGTAAAAAAAAATTAAAACAAAAGAAAAAGTTTGTGCTCTCTCTCTCTCTCCATAGATTTCTACACAGAGCCATCTCCGAACCTCCAACACACCTTTCATCGGATCTGACTTCTTCCCGAAAACCCACAATCTGATTCTTCGAAATCTTCAAAAAAAAAAAAAAACACGCTTTAATCCCCCAACAAAGTTTCCATCTTTGACTTCCACAAATTCCCCCAAAAACACAAAGTCTGCGCCTTTTGTCTCTGTTTGATCGAATTCTCCGGCGAAGGAATTTTCCGATGGGAATGCCTTCGCTGGCTTCTTCTTCTCCAAACAACCAACCATGAGCAACCACCACCACAACGAAGAAGAGGAAGAAGATGAATGCTTCCACGACTCTCTTGATCGCATAACCTCTTCTTGCTCCTGCTCCGCTTCAAACTCCGATTACGACTCCGAATCCTCCCCTCGCATCTCCTCCTCCTCCTCCGCTCATGACCCGGAGGAGCCACGCCGTCGTTACCCATTCCCCGTCCCGAAGTTTCCAATGGCTGCTTCTGCTTCTTCAAGGTTCGACCTTTGGATCTCGGAGCCAGCTTCCGTCTCCGAGAGACGCTCTAAGCTTTTAACCGAATTGGGTCTCTCCCGCGGCGAACCGGTTCACTCCCGGTTAAAACCGGTTTCCGATTCTGGACCCTCCTCCTCTGACGTTTTTTCTCGATCCATCTCGTGTAATCAGTTGGTTGGGAGAGATCATGGAGAGTGCTCAGAAACTGTCGGCGGCTTTGCTTTGAGATCGAAGTCAGATATTTCGGTTAGCCAATGTTCTTGTTTAGACTCTAAGCTTTCACATTGCAATGTGGGGACAGTTAGTGCTGATTCGTCAATGCGGTTAGAAGGGAGTTCTGATTGTGTGTTGAGAGGGTGTAGTGAGAGTGTAGAAGTGTGTACTATTAAGAATCTAGACAACGGGAAGAAGTTTGTGGTTAACGAGATTCAAGAAGACGGTACATGGAAACAGGTGAAAGAAGTTGGGACTGATACGCAGATGACAATGGAGGAGTTTGAGATGTCTGTAGGACAATCTCCCATTGTTCAGGAGCTTATGAGAAGACAAAACGTTGAGGATTCTGATAAAAACAACGCAACAACGAAAGCTAAAGATGATGAAGAGGGTAAGGATAGTAATAATAACAATACATCAAAGTCTAAGAAGAAAGGAAGTTGGTTTAAGAGCATAAAGAGTGTTGCGAGTAGCATGACTGGTGGTCATAGCAAAGAGAGACGAAGCAGTGATGATAAAGATACATCATCAGAGAGAGGTGGTCGGAGGTCAAGCTCAGCTACAGATGATTCTCAGGAATCTTCTTCTTTTCATGGACCGGAGAGAGTTAGGGTTAAACAGTATGGGAAATCGTCTAAGGAGCTCACGGCGATGTACAAGACGCAGGAGATTCAAGCGCATAACGGTTCTATTTGGAGTATTAAGTTTAGTTTGGATGGTAAGTATCTTGCTAGTGCTGGTGAGGATTGTATTATTCATGTTTGGCAAGTTGTTGAGGCTGAGAAGAGAGGAGAGTTGTTACTGGATAGACCGGAGCTGTTGCTTTTGGGTAGTAATGGTTCGCCAGAAGCAACTACTATGTCACCGAGGAGAAGAGGGAGGACTTCTGTGAGTAGGAAGTCGTTGAGTTTAGAGAATATATATGTTCCAGATTCTGTTTTTGGGCTCTCGGATAAACCGTTTTGTTCGTTTCATGGACATTTGGATGATGTGCTTGACCTTGCTTGGTCCAAGTCTCAGGTTAGTTTAGTCACTTCATTTTATTTTTGTTGTAGTTTCTGTGAAAGTATGTATAAGTAAACAAGTACTTGTTTCCTCAGCATTTGCTGTCTGCATCAATGGATAAAACAGTTCGTTTGTGGAGCTTGTCTAGCCACACTTGCTTGAAAGTATTTTCGCACAGTGATTACGGTTAGTAAGTTTGCAACAGTTTAATATGAATTTTAACTGTTTCTTTTGGTGCGTAATCAAAATAACAGTTTACTTGTTTGATGATTTATTGATTGGAACAGTGACTTGCATTCAGTTTAATCCGGTTGATGATAGATACTTCATCAGCGGTTCTTTAGATGCAAAAGTTCGCGTCTGGAGCATTCCAGATCGGCAAGTAGTTGACTGGTATGATCTTCATGAGATGGTCACTTCTGCCTGTTACACTCCAGACGGTCAGGTAAATTAAATCTGCCAAGTTATTATTTGTAGTCAGTATCTTTAGGTTTAAACATTTTCCTAATTTTCTAAAAAAATTATTGAAACTTGAAGGGTGCGTTGGTTGGTTCATACAAAGGTAGCTGTCGTCTTTACAGTGCAACAGGTAATGGATGAAGTTTGTTAAATGTGATTTTGTTTTCTTGCTGTTTCCTATGCGTTAACATTAAGTGACGGTTTATTCGTTTCCTCAGACAACAAGCTGCAACAGAAAAGCCAGATAAATTTACAGAACAAGAAGAAGAAAGCTCATCAAAAAAAGATAACTGGTTTTCAGGTAATGAGAGAATCACTTCTTCAGGAACCAAATCCAATGAAACTAAAAGACTGTTCTAAAAGTTGCTTGCTTGTGTCTCATTTCGTTACCATAGTTTGTGCCTGGAAGCTCATCTGAAGTACTAGTCACATCTTCTGACTCTCGAATCCGCGTTGTTGATGGAACTGATTTAGTTACCAAACTTAAAGGTAAACAAACAAACAAAGTTTAAAGCATTGTCTTCTGTTACTTCATTCACAAGCAAAAGTATCAATCTTTATAACCACACTCCTTACAAAGTTTCCAGCTTTATCTTCTGTTACTTCATTCACAAGCATCAATCTTTCTTTTTCCATTATTGACAGGGTTTCGAAACACGAGCAGCCAAATCTCTGCCTCAATAACAGCAGATGGGAAGTACGTAGTATCCGCAAGCGAGGATTCAAACGTGTACATATGGAAGTACGAATCCCCTGCTTCTCGACCAAGCAAGAGTAACCACAACCACAACCACAAGAACGTCACAGTTACAAACTCATACGAGCATTTCCACTGCCAAGACGTTTCTGCAGCCATCTCATGGCCCGGAATACCCTCAACAGAGTCTTGGGGAGCCACCACCCAAAACACCAACAACAACTTTGACGAAGTCTCCACAGCTAACCATCCACCCACACCTGTAGACCAGCCAGGGACGACTCTGGACCGACTCAACAGTCCAAGAAACGGGATCATTTCGAGCGCAACGAACGGATACTTTTTCGATAGAATGTCAGCGACTTGGCCTGAGGAGAAACTGATGTTTGGGAGGAACAGAAGTGGGAACCGTCTGAGTACGGATTTGTCTAACTCAGGGAACGTGTCTGCTTCTTGGGGGATGGTGATTGTCACTGCGGGTTTGAGAGGAGAGATTAGAGCGTTTCAGAACTTTGGTTTGCCCATAAGGATTTGATATTATATAAAAAAAAAAAAAAGATAAAAAAAGTGTACAGAGTGGTGGTAAAGAAAAAAAAAAAATCGAGTGAGGTTTGTAATATTACTAGCGAGCTTTTTTTTTTCTTCATTCGATTTTTTTTTTTTAATTGTTTACAAGAACATCGAGAGAACAGAGAGGGAGAAGTATACTGATCTTTTGTAGAGTTTACAGACACGAAACAGCTGTTGCTTTCGTTGACCAAAAAAAAAAAAAACAGCTGTTGTTTTTTGTTAGTTAAACCTCAGGCCCATTAAAGTTTTTGGCCCATATTGTATTAATAAAACGTTGTCGTTTTTGTCTTTTGTAGAGTTTATGACACGAAACAGCTGTTGCTTTTTGTTAATTAAAGCTTAGGCCCATTAAAGTTTTTGGCCCATATTGTATTACTGAAACGTAGTCGTTTTGATGATCGTGAAGAGAGTTAAAGAGACAGCTTTGTCTTTTAGGTTTGGACTCTGTTCTAAAACCCTAGAAAAGAGTTTAGCGCTGTCTGTTTCTGCTATAGAGAAAGAAAAAAAAGAATGGGGAGGAAGAGAAAGCATAGCGAGGCTGAAGCGGCGGCTCCGGTGAAGGATGACACTGCTCCGGAGAGACCTAAGAGAACTCTTTTAGGTTGGAAAGATAAGAAAGAAGATGTTGAGGAAGCTAAGGAAGCGTCTGTGTCTGTGCCTGAGTTCAGGAATAAAGAGAAGGTTCTCGTTACTTGTTCCCGTCGGATTAGTTACAGGTGAAGCGAGTTTTGATTTGATTTTTGTTTACTCGTTTGATTGTGTAGAAGAATAATAACAAAGTATATGTTTCTTTGTTTGTTAATTCGTTTGTAAAGGTATCGGCATCTGATGTTGAACATAGTGTCACTTCTGCCACACTGTAAGAAAGATAGTAAGGTGGAAGCTAAGAGCAGTAAAGGCGCGACTCTTAATGAGCTTGTTGAGCTTAAGGGCTCTTCTTCCTGCTTGTTCTTCGAGGTAAAGATACATTCTTTCTTGGTTTCTGTAGGGTCTAGTCTTCTTAAGAGGCTTTGTGTAATCAAGTTTGATACATAGAAGATGGAACAAATCGTTGAACTGACGGCAACATTTTGTGGTTCAAATTGGGTTCCTTTGTGTCTTATGCTCTTAACGTCAGCTTGTCTGGATTTGCTTATATGGAGTAGTAAACTGAAGTTTGGTATGTGTTTATTTGTTTGGGTCTGCAGTGTAGGAAGCATAAAGATCTTTACATGTGGATGGTGAAGTCCCCTAGTGGACCCTCTGTTAAGTTCTTGGTTAATGCTGGTAATTTCTCCAACCCCCTTGTATTTTTGTTCAGAATTAGTTATTGGTGGAGCTTTATATATCTTGTTTGTCTTATGTTTCTAAATTTTTTTATATATTGTGAAGTTCACACAATGGAGGAGCTGAAACTAACTGGAAACCATCTGAAAGGGTCACGCCCTCTCTTGACATTCTCATCTAATTTCGATAAAGATGTACACTGGAAACTTTTGAAAGAGATGTTAACACAGGTCATTATCCCATTATTTTCATTCCCTTAGGTTCCTGGTTACTGTTGGTTTGTACATCATGCTGATTAGTGTTTCTCCTCCCGTCTCTTGCAGGTTTTTGGAATCCCCAAGGAACACAGAAAGTCTAAACCTTACCATGACCACGTGTTTGCTTTCTCCATTGTCGATGACCATATCTGGTTCCGTAATTACCAGGTTGGTTGCATCTCAGAGATCAACTGGTGTTGTTACTCTTTGTTTCAGTTTGGTTTTTAACTCGGTCAATGTCTGTTGTATCTTCCTTTTGCAGATATCAGTACCTCACAATGAGGCAGACAGGGTTGCGCGAGGTGGTCTAGATAAAATGACCCTTGTCGAGGTCTGGCTATAAACTCTATAAGTAACAATAATTTTCGTAGTTGTTTTATGCTAGTGTTGATTGAAATAGAATATGATGACAGGTTGGTCCAAGGTTTTGTTTAAACCCGATTAAGATCTTCGGAGGCAGCTTTGGAGGTCCAACTCTTTACGAGAACCCATTCTACGTATCTCCAAACCAGGTACTTTGTTCTGTATGCAAAACTAGATAAGAACAAGTTGCTGATGAGTGATCATTTTCTGGTTCAAAGTCCTAATTTTGTTTTCAATTTTGTTCTTCAAGATCCGAGCCTTGGAGAAAAGAAGTAAAGCAGGGAAGTTTGCAAAGAAAATCAAAGCAAAAACGAGGAGAAAGATGCATGAGCTTTCAAACCTATTGGAGCCTGATGAGTTTGCAGACATGTGGAAGGATGATGAATGAATATGCTCCATCAAGTCTTTTTTGTTGTAAACTTCCAAATTCACAGAACCATCACAGTTTTGTCTTTGTACTGTTCTTGACTCCGTTTTCATCTTTCCCTCTTATGGGATCAAAACGCTATATTTTCTTGCGAATTAAAGAGTGAGTTTAACAAGTAAAGAGTCCATTCAAAGCTCTTTGCATAAACAGTAGCATGAACACCCAAAATTCACAGAAACAATACATTTTCATGTCTTCAGTGTTCCTTATATATCATTATGTGGTTTTTTGTTTGTAAGAGATGCCAAAGCAATTTAGTTTCTTTATTCAAATTGTGCCAAAGTTAAATTCACAGAATCATCAACACATTGTCTTTTCACTGTTGTTTTCTTCTGTCCCTCTTATGACTGAAAAGCTGAAATCTTTTTGTTTGTTTCTTATCTTTTTTTCTTGCAAACTGACAAGATCATCGGCATCTCTTTGCAATGTAAGATGCAATATAGTTTATTTTATTAATATAGCATCAAAGGTCTAATTACATAAAAACAAAGTAAAAAGAAAATTCAACAAGACAGCAGAAAGAACAACTTAAAGAGTTTCAATTATAAAAAAAAAAAAAGTTAACGAGAATTAGCAAGAGCCCAGTTAGCCTCACTTCCTCTCCTAGGGATCCCATTAACCTTAGAACAAGCATCCACTTTGAAATTAGCTCCACATATCACACCTTCACTATCAATCCTCGGCATCGCCTTCATCTCATTCCTCGGATGCTCAAAACTCTTAAGCCCTGTCTCACTATGAAACATACACCCTACAAAACACACAACATCAGATCTAACTCACAAAATGTTGCATCATTAAAATGGTCTCTGTGTTTAAGTTTACTCACCAGTAGGGAAAGGAGCAAAAGACTTAGCACACCCTTGTTTTATAATCTTCACATCATCAGACATAACAACAGACCCATCACCAGAGATCCCCCAGTAAAGACTCTCTCCACCATCAGAACTCAAAGCCGAGAAAACAGAGGATGTCTGAGTATCGTAAACCACAAAGGCAAAGCTTCCTTCTAACCCTCTGAGGACTTGATCAGCAGGGTAAGGACCACGGTCACGTAACGTCCTGTAAGCTTCGATCACAAACATTGCTTCGCTCGTGTTTTTACCCGTGAGTCCGTACTGTCGGTTCAACGTGCAGAGATTAGTTAACGTGCCGAGGAAGGTACAGTAGATTCCGTCTATACCGCAGAAGAGTTTCTTGCGAAGAGAGGAGGTTTCGGGGCGAGAGTAGGCTAAGACGGCGGAGTCGCCAAAGGTCATGGAGAAGGCTGTGTCTTTGTGGAGGGTGAGGAAGTCGGAGAGGGTTTCTCCGGGGAGTTTTGGGGAGTGAGATGCTGGGCTGTTGAGTTCTTCTGGTGGGTGAGCAAATGCTTTCTGGAATATTGCCAACATTTTTGTTTTTCTTTTGTTTGAATCTTTTGTTGTTGTTGTTGTTGTTGTGGTGGTGAGGAGAAAGTGTTGATGTAAGAGGATATTTATACGAGGTGATTCCACGTGATGATGACTAGGATTTATTAGATTTGGGATAAGACCATGTTCCGACATGTCTGACGTGTTCTTATCCGTTTCTTTTGTAAATGATTCTAAATTTATCATTTTGTCAAAATCGAGTCAATAAACAACTTGATTAATCCAACTACTTAATTAATTCGAACCTATCCTTGTAATGCTTCGATCTTTTATCGTGCCACGTTAGAAAAAGTACTAATTCTTTTTTTTTTATCAACGTTATGTAATAGTAATAGTACGTTTTTACTGTTTCTTTAATATGTTAATAGTATCTTTTGATATTATATATTTATGTCAAACCTTTGTTAAAAATATATATATATATATATATATATATATATATATTTCTTTTTATAGCAAAACATATCAGTATAATGGGGTTTGTTATTGTCAACCAGCACTAATTAAAGTAATCATCGCTTTTATAGTAGCTCTTGTAAGAAATTATGTTTTAACGATGAAAAGAAGAAACAAACTTAAAATGATCAAATTATTAAATAAGTAGATAAGATAAACAAGTTTCTGTGTTGTGATTTATTGTGAGATTTCTACTATAGTAAAATCTTTATAAATTAATAATGTAGAGATTTTAAAATTTAATTAATTTAGATATTAATTTATAAAAAAATTCCTTATTTAAATTTTTTATTTTAAAATATATTTTCTAAAATAAGAATATATATGATTTTAGTGTATAAACATTATTTTTAAAAGTTTAACATTTATATCAATTTTATTACATTATTTTGTGTATATAATATATATTACATATAATATAAATTTATTTTTAGATATAATACTACTAAATCTCATCAAAAATTATAATAAGTGTTAAAAATATAAAGAAAATTTCATTATGAATATAAAATAAATAATACATTGATATATTCTTATGTATACAAATATATATACATATAGTAATTAATTTATAATTTTAATAAAACCATATATTTAGATATATATTCTTTTAAAAATATTATTTTATAATTTTATCGATTAAGATCAAATTTCGAATTGATCTAAATTGGAAACAAAATTTATCAAATATTATTTTATAGAAAACAAAATTTATCAAATATTATTTTATAGAAGTTCTATTATTATTTTATCCTCATAACTCCCCTTTATTTTTTTAAAATGTATTTCGCCGTTGTAACGTTACCGACACAGTTTATTACGGAGGAAAGTTAGATCTACGTTAATCAATTTCTTAGTTGGATCCACGTCATTCCCATCAATTACTCTTTAGACTCTTTGATCTTTAGAATTCACAAATCCAACAGAAGAAATATCTACGATTAGACACAGCGATTAAAACTCCGTACCAAACCAAAATGATCTTCCACTACCATCATCTTACAAAATAAACAAACCGGTTTAACCGATTTTGATCCGGTTCATACAAAAGCGAGCTGATTTTATTTACCCATCTCGGATCAACAATGTCGACTACGAGAACAGCCACACAATTGAGAAACATTGTAAAGTGAGTCGTGATTAGGCATTAGGCTGAGATCTTTTGTTATCTCCAAGCCCCAAAAATGCGACCAAGTTGTTGAGCAATCACAATGATGTGATACAATCACACAAACTGAAGCTAACTTGAGAAACATAGTATGGTTCATTCCCGGTTCTGTTTTACAATATGTAGTCTGTTTTGAACATTAATCGTGGTTCATTCCCGGTTCTGTTTTACAATATGTAGTCTGTTTTGAACATTACTCGTGTCTCGTGTTGTGAGCTTTCTTCGAGAATGTACTAAACCGACCAAGTATCCGTAAAAGTAAAACTAATCCCTGAGATGAGCATAACTCTTTGTAATGACTAATGAGTTAGTGCTCCACCGACGATTTTGGTAACCGACAGTTTCAGTTTGTTTTTGGGCACTACTTTCAACTACTTAATTTAATGTAGGATTATTATTTATGACATCCTCAGATATTTGAATTCCACGTCATTTCCAATCAATTATTATTTCCTCTTTGGGTTTTGCATACACCAAACCGGAAATATCTTTGATACAGTCATAGACTATAGAAAAAAAAAATCAAACCGATACAAATCATAACAAAATACACTAACCGGTTAACTCAATCTCAATCCGGTTCATACAAACATGCTTCTGTTATTATTATTTACCTTTTGGATCAACAAAGTCTGCTACGAGAACGACCACAATGGAGAAAGATCTCCGTAGGTTCTAAGCAGCCACGGAGCGAGTCATGACCAAGCTGAGCTCTCTCGTTATCCCCAAACCCGAATATGCGACCACCTTGAGTCACCACAATGGTGTGATACAAACCTGTGCTTACTTGACACACACGGTGTGGTTTCAGACACTCCAACACTCTTGGTCTAAGAACTTTGTCGGAAACTCCTCTGTCCGGGAAACCAAGGCTTCCAAATCCCATCCACCCAAATCCATACAATGATCCACTTTCCACTAATACAAAAGTTTTCCTCTTTCTTGCACACACCTGCAAGAAAATGCAGAGTCATGATCACATATCAGTTCTTCCTCAAGAACTCTTTGAACATATGGGGGAAGGATCTAACCTGGACAGCAAGGCAGTTGTTGAGACTGACTAAAACTTGAGGAGTGATCTTGTCGTTTTCATCTCCATGCCCTAGAGCACCACAGTAACCTTTACCCCATGTGTATACCTAAGCGTTCAAAGAACAATCAAAACAAGATTCTTAACCGAATAGAGACAGAGATAGATGGAAAAATCAGTCCACTTACACGGCCATTGGAATCAAGTGCCACGGCGTGTTCATCACCTGCAGAGACACGGAGTATATGAATACCTTTTCTTTTAAAAGCCTGAATGACACGCGGCTGGTGCTCGTCCTGTTGCTCTCCATGACCAAGACAAAAGCTAGATCCATAGCCAAATGAGTAAACCGAGCCATCTTGTGTTACCGCTAAAACATAGCTCGGCCCCGTTGAGATTTGCACCACAGGGCCAACGCTTTGAAGAAACTCAACAGCTTTGGGTACTGGTCTGTCCAAGGTATCTCCATGACCAAGCTGCCCATGTGTGTTTGATCCACATGTAAACACACGCCCTTCTCTTGATAGAAACACAGTGAAGTGAAGCCCAGCAGCCACCTGCTTACAAGGAGTTCCCTTCAAAGCCTCAACAAGCTTAGGCCTAAATATTGGACGGCTGATATCTAAATGACCACAGCAATGCGATGAGTTATCTCCACATGTCAGAACCTGTGCAGGACTCAAAGTGAGTATGTCAAGCAAAAAATAAACTCAACAGGACATATTTTCATAGAAACAGAAGCAACCAACCTCTCCAGATTGCAATACGAAAGCAGAATGGTTCTGCGTGGCTGAGACTTGAGCAACTTTAGCAGAGAGAGGAAACTCCACAGGCGTAAACGCTACGCACTGAGTAGTTTCTGGACCATGAGCAAGAACACCGGACAAACTCGAACCACAAGAGTAAACCTTTGAGTTGTTGATTAGCAACGTGTGATACCTTCCCGTTGTAACTTGCATCTGCACAAAAGCATGAAAGAAACACATTTGTTACCTCTAAACCAAACCAATCTCCAAAGCTATACTCCTATCCTTTAAACCAATTTCTCAACTATCACAAACCTACCTAAGACTACTACTCAACAAATGAAAAGTTCACACAAACAAAATGAAAACCATACATTGCCTGCAGAGGTTTCAACCATATCAGAGGATTGCTCAACAGACTGCAAGAACCTCAAAAGCCGTTTCCAGTTCCCCTCACAGTTCGCAAAAAGCTCCTTCTGAGTAGCTAAACCCATTCCAACATAGACAGGATGAACAGAGCAAAGCAGAGACGCTGCGTAATCAGCTAACGACCTAAACTTCAAAGGGTACACTCCAAAGCTCCCTCCAAAAGCCTTAGAGGTCAGTTCCAAACTAACCAGATCAAACGCATTAAGCCTTCCAGATGTCAACACCTCCAAGATCAAATGACAAGGAAGATCCTCAAACGAAACCAACCAGTTTCCTCCAGCCATAACTAATGAAAACAGAGTTTTTTTTTTTTCAAATTCGAACGTTAAAGGACGAGACTTTCTTGAGAGGATTGAAGCTAAAGGAAACGAAAGGTTGAGACTTTGTGGATTAGAAACAAAGGTTCAGATTTTGAGACGAAATCTAGAGCAGTTGAAGTAGCGTATGAAGAAGACGTTGGATGGTAAGAAGAGATAGGAGATCGAATAGGAGAAAGGAGTTTTAGATGAGAGTTTCGCGGTTTGAAAACTAATCATGAGAAGGGTACAGATCAGATTGCAAGGAAATCAATCTCCACCAGATTTCTTCAGAATTTTTACCTGCAAAAAACAGAGTAGCAAAACAGAGCAAATCCCTAATTTTAATTTGATCGAGAGGAGGAGAAGAAGGTTATTAATGTTGAATATGCGTGAGAGCTTATCTGGAAAGCAAAAGCTTCTGACTTTATTGGTGCTGAGGCTCACTAATTAACAAATGAAGCCAAAAAGTCTAGAAAGAGCCTTTTTGTGAGAGAATGTTGAAAGACGTGTGAAGAGGAATAGAAAAATTCAGTGTCTTGCTTCTTAAGCTTCTTCTTTTGTGGCGATGCTTCCTCTCTGTCGTGGAGAGAGTGAGTTTGCAGAATCTTTTTGGGGTTTTAATTAGTCCTCGTCCTTACACTGTTTTAGTTGTTGGGAGTAGTTGTTTAGTTTGTGGTTGAGAATCAGACGCCACATAAGACAGTTGAACATGTAAGTTTATGCGGCTAGCATTTGACAAATGAGGATGGAGAAACAAACAACAATTTGTAGAAGCTTCTCTATTTTAAGTCATTAGAGCATCCCCATTAGTGAACTCACTAATGGGGTTCATAGGATTTTTTTATTAATTTTTGGGTGGGGTACTTAGGTTGCCACACCAAACAAAAGCAAGATCTCTGAATACAAGTGGGTCTCATTTCTCACCAATAAGAATCAGTCTCTCCCGGATGAAATGGAGTTGGTCACACAAATAAAAATTGTTACAAACAACAGATATGTATATTCCCATGTTAATGTTGTAGAATTTACTACACTGGAATTCTGTCTTTGAGGTAGCTCAAGACTGCTTTTGTTCCTCTTTCTAGAATTGGTCTCCTGATGCTGATAATGTTGGTGAAAAGGTGAAAAGAAAATCAAACTTGTTTGTATGGTGAATGAATTGAGTTTTTTATTCTTTAATGGATAGAAGAAAATACCTTCTTAATGGATTCCCATCAAGCCTTAGAACCTCAAGTGTTGGCTCAAGCAAACCCTAAGAAACAACACATGTTTGTTATCAGCAAATTTTAAATGCAATTTCCATTTTCCAGATGATAAAAGAAAGGCGACTTACCAGTTCTGGAGGAAGACTTGAAATGTTGTTGTTAGATATGTCCAGGTGTTTGAGTGAAGTCATGTTCTTGACTTCCTGCTTGGAAAAAAAAACAGAGCCAATGCAAAATAACATTATTTGGTTAATTACCTGATTCAGGCAGTTTCCACTAAATTCAAACTACAGACTCATAAATCCGAAATTAAAAACAACAAAGTAAAGCTTAAAGCAGCAATATACCTTGGGAATCGATTGAAGTGAATTCTGGCTCAAATCAAGGATAATCAGGTTAGATAAGCTGAGGATTTCTTCAGGGACTTCAGACAGCTGGACACGGCTGTCAAGGGAAGTATCACTCTTAACCTAGTGAAAAGTGTTACATGGGCGACGAATAATGTAACGTATAATAACAAACCTCAAATAAAGCTCTCGTAGTTGTGGCATGTGCGAAAACTTCGGACGCTCTACGATGCCCAAAGAAGATGCATCACCACTTAGGTCGAGAATCTGAAGCCTAGAGGCTGCTTGAAACCCATCCAAGGGAATCTTACAAGCAAATGAAAAAAAAGAAGGTGATGGGTTAGCGTCTTCTAGAGTAGAAGCTATAATTAACTCTTTAAACATTTTCTCAACAAACAGCACCAACCTGCTTCAGGGGATTATTATCCAGCTTCAAGCACACAAGACCAGGAAGTGACTTCAAGATTTCACCGGGCCAGTCTTTAATCTTGTTCCTTGACAAAATCAAAGTCTGCAGTTACAAAGACAATATGGAATCTTTAGCAGCCGAGACAGGTTTATAGCATAGGCACATGACTATTTATGGAAAACCCATTTACCTGAAGGGAAACAGATGAAGAAAGCTGAGCAGGCAATTCCTCGATAGAGTTCTTAGAAAGATTAACTTTCGTGATTTCACCAGACTCCCAAACTTCTGAAGGGACAGCACTCAAGTTGAGACCTTCCAGAGAAAGTTCCTGGAGTTGTGTGTAGCGTCAATCGATTAACATCATAAAACGTTAGGATGGTGCTCCGATCCGTGAATTCACTTACCTTCGAAGATATGGACATTCGAGCTGCTGAAGCAATTATGTTTTCCTTCGTGGGAGTGCTTGCACTTGTTTCTATAAATGGAAACCTTTAAAAGTTAGCCAATACCTCTTAGATGAGAGAGAGACAGAGCGTGATGTTGGACTGAAGTACCTTCACTATTAGAAAGACGGCTCCTGAGATACTTTAATAGAGTAGCTGTTGGACCATTTACTAACGAGCTGAAAAGCCAGATAAAGAAAGAAATATTGGCTTCTTGAAGTAGCAAACCAAGAAACCAGACAGTGACAGCGTAAAAAATTACCTTCTGAGGGTTCTCAAAGGATTGCCAACAAGCCCAAGCTTTTTCAGAGTAGTCATGTTTCCTATAAGAAAAGGAAAGCATTATGTTAATTGTCATTTTTATGATGTCATATGTAAATTCATTAACAAGCAGGGGAAACAAAAATGGCTAGTGTTGTTTCCTTGTACCGAGCTCAGGATGCAATCCTGTCAACGAATTATTTGAGAGATCAAGGTACGAGAGCTTCAATCTACATCCACCAACTGGATATTCCTTGAGCTGAAAATCAGGAGAAACCAGAAGGGTGCAGGCCACTAGTTAGAAGCAAGCGATTGTCACTGGATAAAGGATTTCAGATCTATATAAACTCTAAAAAAAACAAGAAATGAGCACAATACCTGATTAGAACGAAGATCTAGTGTTCCAAGACGTGATAGATCTCCAATTTCCGCTGGTAATGTCGATAACGAGTTCATTCTGAATAAATTACAGAGACGAGAATGTCAATAGTGAAAGTCTCTAATCAAACAAATCACTCTTAAGCGACAGTAGTAGAGAATGACCCCAAATAGAACTCCACAAGAGAGGAGCAACCGCCTATTGATACTGGGATAGACGTGATTTCTGCATGAATCGAATACGAAAACAACTCAGCAACCACATAGAAGGAATAAGTTACAGAAACATTAACTTCTCAGATTTTACTTACTGTTCTGGTGAAGGTCAAGCCGGATAAGACGTGAAAGGCTTCCGATATTTTGTGGCAGATCAACCAACATATTCTTAGCTACAGAGTGAAAAAGATATCAACGTGTGCCCCCGCAATCTTTCAATATGTAAGAAACGCAGAATAAAAAACTGAATTTCATTACATGCATTAAGTTCTGAAAGCATGGTCCACGATGCTATCTGCCTCTCAGAGAGAGCGGTAAGCTTGTTTCCCTGCAATAAGGAAAACTTACATTGGTAAATCATCTTTCTCTACCCAAACATAGCATTGAATACCAATGCTTTCTCCTTCTTCAGACAGGGAGAGGACAAAAATAAATGCTAAGTAGCCACTACAATCTAGAGAGAAGAAACGACACCAGTCTCATACCTCCAGATCAAGCTTGGATAATTTGGAACAGTTGGCCATGTCTTCATGCAAACTAGAAATTTGATTATTTGAGGCCTGTGGATTATAGTAAGCACAATCATTGCCATAAATAATATGAGAGTACAAGTAAAAGAAAACTCAAATAATCCACAAGCAACACGGAACAACCTTCAAATCTGATAAGTCTAAACATCTTCCAAGAGACTCTGGAAGTTCTTTAAGCCGATTGCTTGAGCAGTCGAGCCTGAAGCAATCACAAGGAGTTTGAATCAATTATGAACTGTGAAATTTTTATGAATTCAGTGCCCTATGCCAGGGATAACCTACTTGACAAGAGAAGTTGCAGAACCAATTTGCTCAGGAAGTTCTGAGATTGAGTTGAAAGACACATCCAACGACTTCATCGCCGTAAGCCTACGAAATAAGAGAGCATTTAAACATTATCACCAAAAGTGAACACAATGGAACCACACAAGAAAGCTCAAGAAAACACTCACTCCCCAATGGCAGCTGGAAGTTGAGACAGTTTGTTGTGACTGACATTTAACACAACCAAACAAGCAAGGTTCTTAAGATCTTCTCTTAAAACCTCAATTTCATTATGCGCCAAAATAAGCTTCTGTAAATCAACAGCCTGCAAGGTACAAGATAAACATTCAAGAAAATTGATGACATAACAAGAATGCATTAGAGGAAAAGGATTTAAATTCATCACCTCCCACCAGTTCTCTCCTTCTCCGGTTGTTTCCAGACATTGATATACCTCTGTAGGTACCTCCCTGAAAATCGAAACCACCCTCTCAAATCAATAAAAATTGGTGCAAGTAAAAGACTTTGCAGCAGCTAAATATACAAAATGAATCTCGTGAATATACAAGATCTGATTCTAAGCAACAGAGAGGAGCAAAACCTTTTGGATTATAAACGTATTTACAAGCAAAAAAAAAAAAACAAAGACTCGTCATCTATATGCATCTAAGATTTTCTCAGATAATCACATTCTATCCAATTTCGAAAACTCAAAAGAAAAAGAAAACAATTGAAGCTGGTGGATCTAACCGGAGAGATCGATTGGAAAGGTTGAGCGAACCGGATGTTCGAGCTGCCTTCAAAATCCGATCCATTACAAGACACAAACACCACTCTCTGTCCCTGATTTGGTCGGTCTTATTGTTCCCGTCTCTGTCACTAATCGTTTATGAACAGAAATGAAAAACGTTGTCGTTTCGAGAAGCTTAATTAATTTAATAGTACTTATTTATGAAATAAAATTAAACAATATAATTCGTATATTTCATTGTAATTAATACAGGTTAACTGGATTTATGGGGAAATCAAAAGATTAAACAAAACGTTGTGCGAGTACGGAGTGTATTGGTGTCGTGAAGCCAAGTCATGTATTGTATACTGTATTTTGGTATCGTTGCTGTAACGAGGATGCTTAGAATGATCATCATGAGATCATGGCACGAGCAATGATCATGTCACACTATATATCAATACATTATGCAATACAGTTCCAGTTCCCAGCCTCTTTACTATTTCTTAATCAAAGTTTATTTATTTAAAACTTTATGTTGGATTATTCAACTTAATGTGAACCTTTTATCAAACCAAAATATGATATATATCCTTATGACTGATTTTATCAGACTGTGTGTTTCCATGGACACTGAAAAGCTTAGCCGTGCATATCGTTTGAACTAGGTGCAAGAGCTTCTTCGGTCATGGTTTCTTTTTCTGACATGTGCTTGTCTTGTCCTGAACTGTAAGGTGAACAATGAGAACAGCTTGGTGGCTGTTCGTATACAGGTGGGCGGTAATACGGTTCTCTTGGAGTGCAACCACCGGTTTGGCATCCCCCAGAACCATACCCAGGATTAACCCTGACTCCTGGAATCTCAAAACCGGGAATCTGTGCTCCTGGAACTGTTATGGGAGGGATTGTTATGCCTGGGACAACTACACTTGGTACAACACCACTAGAGCCACCTCCTATACCTATACCAATCCCTTCACCTGAACCACTTCCCTGTCCAATGCCTTCACCGTATCCGCTACCTGGAGCTCCATTGATAGGACCGCAGTTCGGTTGGCCATACCCGGAGCCAATGCCTTGTCCATATCCACTGCCTCCACTGGACCCAATGCCTTGTCCATAGCCACTGCCTCCACTTGAGCCAATGCCTTCTCCATAGCCATTGCCTCCACTTGAGCCAATGCCTTGTCCATAGCCACTGCCTCCACTTGAGCCAATGCCTTCTCCATAGCCACTGCCTCCACTTGAGCCGATGCCTTGTCCATATCCATTGCCTTGTCCATATCCATTGCCTCCACTAGAGCCAATGCCTTCTCCATATCCACCGCCACTTCCATAGCCCCTACCTGCACCAAACCCCATAGGCTTAACTGTGTGGTCAGGATCTTCTGGTTCACTCGCCAGGGACTGCACTTTATGATCAGGCTTTTCTTTGTGATCTAGCATTAATTTAGGATCAGGATCTTCTAGCTCATCCCACATGGGTTGCATTTTATGATCAGGCATGACCTTATCCTCAGGCTCTTCTGGTTCACCCGGCATGGATTGCATTTTATGTTCAGGCATGACCTTGTCCTCAGGCTCCTCTGGTTCACCTGCCATGGACTGCAGCTTATGGTCAGGCATGACCTTATCCTCAGGCTCTTCTGGTTCACCCGGCATGGATTGCATTTTATGTTCAGGCATGATCTTGTCCTCAGGCTCTTCCGGTTCACCCGGCATAGACTGCAGCTTACGGTCAGGCATGACCTTGTCCTCAGGCTCTTCTGGTTCACCCGGCATGGACTGAAGCTTATGTTCATGCTTGAATTTGTGCTCAGGTTCAACATTGAACAAGTCATGATCTTGCTCACTGAAAAGAACCACCCCAGGCATCATTACATTGTTTAGATCAAGCTTGCTCGCCTCCATCATGGCGAGATCCTTGAGAACCCTGCGTGCATAAATTGAACTAAAGAAGCAGAGTAATAGGACGAGTCCAAAGCATTTGCCTTGGTGTCCCTTTGCCATTATTTTTACTATGAAGTAAACTGATGCATTTTTCAAAATAAAGAATCCCTCATGGTTTTATAGGAAGTGATATTTTCTACTTTAAAGAAAACACATACCGTGAAAGCAAAATAGTATGAAAAAGTGATTCACAAACATAGCATGAGTCCAAGGAGAAAAGTAAGAAGCTTTTCCCAATAACACAAATTGTATGTTTAGCAACTTCAACTCTTACAAGTTTAGTAAACATTTAGGATTATTTGCCAACAAGAAACTCCATCAACAACGATCTTTGAAGCAAGATGTTGTTCTATAAAATCTAAAAGAAAGAAAAAAAAAAACTCAACTGAGAGAACAACTTGGTAGATTTCAGAGAGTGCCACCATTATCACCAGCTTGTTGTGATACCACCCTTCAATTTAATGTATGATACCACCTGAAAACAAAAATTAAAGGGTGGTAGTGAGAACCAAAATTAGTTGATGTAATTTGATCTTAGTTTATTTTTGTTATTTATAATTTATTACAATGATGTTTTGCTTTTAGTTTATTTTGGATTTGAAGTTTAATTTATTATTCTTATTAGACAATTAAATATTTATAGTTTTATATTTTGATTTTTTAGATATCATTACTCTTAACTTCTTATAANTTATTTTTGTTATTTATAATTTATTACAATGATGTTTTGCTTTTAGTTTATTTTGGATTTGAAGTTTAATTTATTATTCTTATTAGACAATTAAATATTTATAGTTTTATATTTTGATTTTTTAGATATCATTACTCTTAACTTCTTATAAAGAATTAAATAGTGTAAACTAGTTTTTGATATTTTGTATATTTATACATTTTGTTTTTTAAAAACATTTACAAAATATTTAACTTTAATTTTTATATTTTTATTTTCATAGTTAATATATTATTATATAATAAATTTTTATTTATTAACCCGTGGTTCATCCGCGATCGATCCAGTGATCCAATAATTCGGTAAGTCGTTCGGTTCAGTGTCTAGGTCGTATTTAAAAACATTGATGATCTAACTTAATAGAACAGATGCAAAAGAAAATAATAATAATTTAAGTGTTTTTTTTACAACATTTTGAGTGTTATTAATTTTGTCAAAACGATACAGTAATCATTCGGTCAAAAAGTATCATTTGTACAACCCAAAAAAGAGTCTCATTACATGTGAGATGTTATTATGATTGAGTAAAAAAAATGTGATTTTGCTAAAATTTGAGGAGACACTGAATATATGTAGTAAGTCCTTAATGTTTTTATTTATTATGAAGTAATTCTCCTTAGTTTTATTCTTTATCAGAATACATGTACATTTTGTTGTATTGACAAAGTAGCCCTTCTTCCTTCATTTTCCTTGTCCGGTCAAATTAATCGTTTTCTCTCGGTTCTTACTCCGGTCGCTGACGAATTCTGGTGAGCTCGTCACACACCTAATATACTCATTATCTTTTTCAAAAAATTCTAAATAGTTCATGGATCTTCGTCTCCCTAACGAGGCTCTTAAATTTCTGTTACATAGTGTTCCCATTATGCAACCTGAAACTGTTCCTATGATCTTTTGCTGTCATAAAGTTTGCGTTTTTTTTTTTATAACTGACAAGTTATAAGCTTTGACTGGTAAACTATTGCAGAACAAGTATGATGGGTTCGAGAGGAATCATCAGTGATAAATGGTCAATGAGGATTCTATGGGGCTGTGTTCTCGGAAGTGCTGTTGGTAATGTTCTTCTTCTTAGACCTTGCCTTTTTTTTTTCTCAAACGCATAAAGCTTTCTTCTTCTTTCTCTGATTGTTTTAGGTTTATACATGGTTGCTGTAGAAAGACAAACCCAGAACAGAGCACGTGCTTTGGCTGTATAAAAATTAAAGTTAAATATTTTGTAAATGTTTTTAAAAAACAAAATGTATAAATATACAAAATATCAAAAACTAGTTTACACTATTTAATTCTTTATAAGAAGTTAAGAGTAATGATATCTAAAAAATCAAAATATAAAACTATAAATATTTAATTGTCTAATAAGAATAATAAATTAAACTTCAAATCCAAAATAAACTAAAAGCAAAACATCATTGTAATAAATTATAAATAACAAAAATAANTTATAAGAAGTTAAGAGTAATGATATCTAAAAAATCAAAATATAAAACTATAAATATTTAATTGTCTAATAAGAATAATAAATTAAACTTCAAATCCAAAATAAACTAAAAGCAAAACATCATTGTAATAAATTATAAATAACAAAAATAAACTAAGATCAAATTACATCAACTAATTTTGGTTCTCACTACCACCCTTCAATTTAATGTATGATAAAAATATCATAAAATTTAATCTAAATTTAAAGAAAAAGACGGCAATGCTAATAACTAAAACGTGTAAATCTAACTTTAAATTAAAAATTTAGAATATAAAATAGAATAAAAACATAATTTAAAACTAAAAAGTAAAAAATTATTTATTGGTTCAACTAGCATCGAATTTTAGTGGTTTTTCTGGATTTTTGCGGATTTTTAAATTTTGGGTTTTTAACAAAATCCGAACTGAGTTTATTTTGGATCACCTGATTTATCGGATCAACCGCGGATCCGGATCAGGTTTCAAAACACTGAAGATCATTAAAAACACTGAGGATCATTAAAATGCGTAGAATCTCAAAAAGTCGTAATATTTGAATAAATACCATATGTGATTTGATTTTAAATTATTGGGAAACATTAAAACATCTAATAAAGGAGTTAAATGTTACAAGTGAAGTTTCGGGGAAAAAGCTTTGAAAACACTCTTCGTCCTCATGCACCGATTACATTTGTCTACTTAACATCGCTGTCCAGTTACCTCTCTAGTCCACTCTTCTTCTTCTCTTTTCTCCGGTCCAACTTCACAAGTCTCGCTCTTAACCAACTCAGATTGTCGATTGATTAGCCCTTTCTCTCTGTACATCTCCGGCGGCTAAAACCTTCCTCCGACCTACTCAGATTTCTTCACTTCCGGTGGTAAGCGAGAACTCTTACATTCTACTCTTGTCTCTTCGCATTGCTGATTTATTGCAAATGGGTTGTCTCTCTTTAGTCTCCAATCAAGTTCCGATTGCTTCTCTATCAAAAAATAAAATATTCCTTTATTCTTCTTCTTCTTTCTGCTTTATGCTGTTTTTTTTTTAAAGTTGTCACATTCTTCGGTTTCTTTTATGCGAAGTTTCCTTCTCATCTATTTTGCGCTGTGAGTATCGATTATAACCAGTAAAAATCGTGTCTTTTTTAATATTTTCCCTGAAAGTTCACATGTTTTGGTACTGTGCCATTGATTTGCTTCACTTGTATTACACTACAAGTGCAAAAATGATTCCTTGATGGGCTTTCGTAGTGTTAAATGTCAGGTTAGCCGTTAAACTGACCAGGTTTCCCTTTTTTTCTACTTTGGTTGGAGATTATGCCTGCCAGGTGTTTGATCCTGCATTTTTGGGTAACATAACAGCCAAATCTATGTTTAAAGTTTTCTTTTTTCGGACATAGTTTACAAGCCATGTTCTGCTTTTTATAATTACCCAGTCAAAACCGGTTATTAGGAAGATGATTGAGAAGCTTGTTTCTTGCATTACATTTTTGTTGTAATGTAGTGAACATATTCACTCAGCTTTCTGTATTTAGCATCACTCACTATTGTTATATATATATATATATATATATCAGACTGATTTTACATTAACGGAGTGCATTGTGAATTAGGAGGAGACATGTCAATGATTGCAAGCTCTTCCCACAGTGATCTAGATTCAAGAAGCTTGCAAGTCCTTCTCGATGCTTTTGGTTCTCGTTTCTCTCTCGATGACATCGCTGCTGCTTACTGCCAAGCTAGCCAGAATGTCCATGAAGCTGGTGAGATTCTCTTTGCCATGACGACGAAAGAGACGCCTCAAAGTGACCAACTCAAAACGAACGGAGCAACCTCAAAGCCAACTCATGCCTATGTTCCCAAGAAAGTTCAACCACGAGAGGATAGCAAAGCACAAGTATGGAGACCGAAGAAAAGTTCTGTCTCAGTTGGTACTGTTTCAGGTGTTATTGGAAAGGAGTATGCTAGAAGAGTCACGCCTGAATCAAATGCTCGCCAAGAAGCAGTTAAACCAATGAAGATAGACGCAAGGGATATTCCTGAAACTGAGATATGGAGTGAAGAAGAAAGGCCAAGAAGCAACGAGGCAAATGTAAGCAGAGCACCAACTGATGTTGAGGAATTTATTGTTAAGATGCTCGGAGAAGGCTTTCAAGCTAGTCCAGAGGTTATTCAACAGATTCTTGGTAAGCATTTCCTCTACTTGATAATCGTTTGACATCATTCATGGTCTTAGCTGCTAAAATTCTTCTGCTGTTTTCACCAAACTATCAGGCGTATGCGGATATGATGTGATGAAGGTAAGCCAGTTCCCTTAGCTCTGAAGAAAGTAGTATATTTTTGTTTCTTATAATTTGCTTTTTGCATAAGATACCTTCGTGTTTTTGTCTTTAAAATATTTTATGATATGTTTTAGCTTTATTTGGCTGAATTGTATTATGTACTCTCATACCTTGAATCATGACCTGTGACCTTTATAGTTGCATAACTTTTTATTTGAACTACTTTGAGAATCCATTTTTGTTTGTTTTAATTCTATTTGCTGACTAAAGTTGGAGATAATATTGACTTCTCATTCTGATAAGAACTAATATTAAACTCTTTTTAAGTAAGAGATTTTATGAATTGGACTTTTTTAGATTTTTTTCTTTTTTATGTCAGATTTCTTAATTATTTTAAGATTTATTTATACATTAGATTTATGGATTACTAAGAAATCAATTTCCATAAATTAACCTTAGTTTTTCAACTGGGGTTTAAGCATAGCCTAATTTTTTTTTTTCTCTTCCTCGCCAGAGTCAAAAGCGCATTCACATTCCTATTGTTTTTCACTTGATTGTTAGTGGCATCTCTATAGTCTTGAGATATGGCTCCTGTGAGTTTTTCATTGGCTCTGCCTTATCTTTGTGCTGTAACTTCTTGTTTTGGCATCTACTCTATATTCTTAATAATATTGCAGAGTACGGAGAAGCTGCTTGACTTGTCTGATACCAAGAAGCATGCTGATGTTGGAATTTCTAATGAAGTTGTAAGCTTTTCTTGTAACTTTCAGTTTGGCGGTTGTTATAGAATACCGTCTTCTTAATCTGACTCTGATTAGTTATATGCTCCCCTTTTCTTAAAGACGTCAAAAGTTGGTCCCCAAAGACATGAATCCATGCCCTGTAACCAAGATTTTTCTCAGACGTACGCTTTTTCTAGTCAATGTATTTAAAAAATCCCCTCCATTGGCTATCGTTTTGATATATTTCCTCTTTAAATGATGCAGTGGTGAAGCAAGAACCTTAACAGGTTTACAAGACGGAGGCAAGAACAAGAATGGTCTTGAAAAGGAAGTCTTAGAAGCTTTGTTCTCTGGTGCAGAAAGATATGAGGAAGTACCAAAAATAACTAGACGAATTGCAGTAAGGAGAGCAAGAGTTGCTGGTCGTCCTGTTTTTGAACCTCTGGAAGACCCTTTTCAAGAGAGGGTAGTTACTGTGATACAATCAACAGATACATCTAAAGAAGGTAACCGTGTCAGTCTTACACGTACGTTTTTATTCGAGTTTTATCCTCTCCTTTCTCAAGAGTTTGCTAAACTATCCACGTTTCTCTCTTTGGTAGATGAGGATGATGAAAATGAATATAAGGCACATCGTCAAGCTGTGCACGAGAATTTGCAGGAGATGAAAGAATACTACAGAGCTGTACGTCTTTTAGATAAAGAAGAATCCACGTACCAGATACACCGTTATTTGTCTGCGATGGCTATATGATACATGTCTTCTTTCTCTTTGGCAGGCTGTAGAAGCATTCTCCAAAGGAGAAACCGAGCGAGCACACAGACTCGTGGAGAAGGTACAATGTGGACAGGAATTTTTGATCAATGTCTTTCTTGTGTTATATACAATAACAATTTGATATCATCCACAATACATAGGGACACTTTTTCGGACAAAAAGCTCGAGAGGCAGATGACAAATCCATGGCAAAGATGCTTGAACTCAAGTCAGTTTTCGCTACTATTTGTACACAGGCTTGTATTGTAGTTTTCTGCTCTTTGTTCCATTGGCAATAAGTGTTTAGAAAATTCAAAACAATGCTATAGGGAAGACGATGGTTCTACTTACAAGGAAGACGAGGTCGTGATAGTAAATGTGAATGAACATGAACCTAGGGAAGCTCTTCGTCTTCTCAAGCTCCAACTTAGGAACTTCTCTGGCATTCCATGTAAGGTTTTAAAATCCTATTTTTTGCTCTTAACTGAAACTAATCTAATCTGTTTGTATTCATTCTGTTTATGACTTAGCTATCAAGTACCTTAGAGTTAAATTGGGTGACAACAAGGAAGATTCCAAATGCAAACGAAGGGTAACTATCTTTGCTCATCTATCTTCATCTCTGAGTAGAACTTGAACTGATTCGGTTTACTTTGTTTTCTTAGCTTACGGCAATTGCCAAGTTGTTGGCGGGAGAATCCATTGCCTGGTCTGAAGAAGATAATGGCCTCGTGATGATGATTCGTGTTGATGAGATTATCCCTGAGAAGTTAAGTTTTGCCAAGAGATAGAACACCATTGGTTGTAATTCCTTTTGCTTCACATTCCATACAAATTTGAGTGTACTGTTTCAAACACTCTATTCTTTATGTAACCAAACAAAAGAAGCATTTTGGCAGAAATATAATATTTTGGTTTCAGAATAAAAGATTCCTCAAGCCATCTGACATTACAATATGCTTATAATGTTTTGAGAGATACAAGATTCCCTTCTTTAAAACCAATATAAACCGGCAACCCCCAATGAAACAAAACTTATACAGTATGATCTCTATCAGTGGGTGAGTCTCTGAACCTCTTCCTCATTGTTATCTAAAGTTTCAAGTAGAAGTGACGGCGCATGCTGAGCATTCCCTTGATTCTCCTCTGAGTCTTGACAGAAGGAGAGTATGATTGTGTCTATCGACATCTCAACCACCGCAAAGAAAAGTGTAGCCACAACATACCCCAGAGCCCAGCATGCCTGTGCATAGATAAGGAAAGTCATAATCTACAATGTTTTTTTTGTATTTACAATGAGTCTAGAGGGAGAAGAGAAGGTTTTTACCAAGACAGGTAATAGAGGGGACGAGACTTTGTTGTGGGAATCCCTATATTTGTGTGAATCCAACATCAGAAAGCCAAAGAGAGCACTGAAGAGACTCACACAAAGCTTCCCTAGAAACAATATCACATCTCCTATTACATTAACCTTGCCAATCCTCATAATGTTGTTCATGATCAGCTCTGTTGCGATTGCAGATGATTTGCAGAAGCTTTTCCCTGTTATAGCAATCTGAACAAGACACCAAGAGACAGCAATCTATCAAGAAATGGACTTTCACTTTGCTAAGAGGAAGATATTTTCTATTACCATTATGTAGGCATTGCGGTTAACCGATTTGATGGTCCACTCCACACTTTTAAGACACCCACGTGATGTGTAATGACCCATTCTCCCAAGCCAGTGATCAGGTGTGGTCCCTCTTACTTTTGTTTTACGACGAATAGCTTCGAGAATGAACCGAACAGACTCCACAAAAGACACAATGAGTGAACCAAGAGCCACTGATCCTAAGTTGTAACGTGCAAGCCGCTTCATTGAGGCGAAAACAGGAAGAAAAGGTATCTCTGGCGAAGCTGCTTCCCCTTGAGCCCAATAATAGGAAGCAACAGAGCCAGCAATCACCGTGGCAGAAGATGCAATGAAGAACTGTGTGGCCCAGTAACAACCAAATAGATGGAAGAATATGGCAATGGTGATGTGAGGAGTGTAACGTATGCTGTAACCACAACAACGGTCACAGTTCACTTTCTTTAACACGAGATCATAAGCGCAACAGTTAGTGTTGTTGCAGTTGTTCTGAACAACTTGACCAGAGCTGAATAGATGGAGAGCTGCTGATAGCCAGAACATGTAGAATATGGCGAGCATTGCGTATGGTATAGCAGGGAATATAATCAGCGCTTGCACTTCTCCGATTACTTTAGCAGCTACCTGGATTTCACAAGTACATATATGCATATAACAAAATGACATTTCTAGCAAAAGGCTGAACTAGGAAGCAAGTAATACTCACCTTGAGGACTGATGTTGCCATGAGGATACGGCGGATGATGGCGATTGAAGTGAGGATAGCAACAACTGAGATGAAAGTCATCAGAATGGCGACTCCTCGGACATGAGTCAGCTCCTGAGAACAAACAAATGCAAATAAGTCTGGAGAAGACGGACTAAAGGTCTTAATGAACATGAAAGCAAGCGTTGAAACTTACTCGACCATATACATGAAAGTATGGGTCATGCTCACCGATAATAGGTGTTACAGCATCATTCCCAATCCATCCAGCTACAAAACACACAAAGCGGAATACCCATGTTGAGTCCACATGACATGAAACACAGTAAATATTTGATTTCCCTTCAACCAACCTTTTAAGTGATAGAAGATGGTCACCGATATTAAAAGCATGTTGAAAAGGACAACAGTGATCCAAGGCATGGCGGCAACAAAATGCCGAATAAGGAGAAGCCAAACAATGGATAGAAAAAGCGGGACAAGGCCTCCACAAACAATCAATACTGGCCATGACTTGCCTATATCAGCCACATAACGCTGCGAGTTGAACAACCACCAACAAACGCTTTAGACCATTCTTCAAAGTAGAGTTTACATGTCAAGAGAGAAGAGGATCATTCTCTAACCTTAAGAACCGAGGCACGAGAATTCAACGACCTTCTTATAGATTTGTCTATGATCATATCCTCTTGAATATTCACACCACCCATCTGCTGCCAGTGACGCAGTGATGAATTTGAAGCACGAGCTATATATTGACAGCTCCAATAAACTACATAATTAAAAGTTTGTTACAAAAAGGTTACAGAGAAACAAAACAAAAGACTAAGCTTTATGCTCTTACCATTAACACTAGGGAATATAATAGGGTAACAAGGACCCTGAAGCTGAAGAGACGAGTTCCTCATTTCAGGAGTAAGAAACTCAAAGTAATCATAGTTCCTCTCAACCCAATCACTCATCTTGAGACGAATCTCTCCATCAGGATAGTCACAGACCCAATTTAGAGTATCATCCGAAGGTTCAGGACAATCCAAAAGACATATAGTCCTAGCGTTACCCAGCTTATGTTCCCCATCTTTCAAACCACTCTCATAAACTTGGTTTGGGTTTAACCAATATCTAAGCTCAAGTTTAGTAAGGTCACGGTGATGGTGCTTGCTACCACACACATTCCCTTCATAGTCCAATCCATATGTAAGTCTGCAACATAAAAAAAAAAACCCCCACAAATCAAGAGATCATTCATATATACCAAATCTACTACAAAGATAGAAACTCTGGTGTGATAAAAAGGGAAAGTCTTTAATACCAAAGAGATTTGGAGTGAAGTTTTTACCTTAATGGGTTTCCTTGGTTGAAGCCAAAGCTGGAATTAACAATCATAGAGACCCAAAAGGCAATGAAGATGATGAGAAAAGTGATGTCTCTGCACTTTCTGTTGTGTTTGATGATCCCATCTTTTTCACTCCCATCACTTGAAGTGTATCTTCCAATCACAGCTCCCAGAGGTCCTCTCATCTTTTATTTTTTCTCTTCACTGTCTGAAAACCCTTGAGAACAAGAAAAAGAATTTCGGAGAGAACAATACAGAGAGATAGAGAGAGACCTTTACTAAAGACTAAAAGAGTGTCTTCTCTCTCTCTTTCTTTCTTTCTCTGTGTTCATTGTTCAAGAAGAGTGTGAAAGCGTTAGAAGGGTATTAATGTCTTTTTGTTAAAAGTTTCTTTTTTTTTAATGGCTCTGTTCAATCTATCATCCGTGGAACATGAAAAGAATCCATGTCTGGATGGGCTATTGCATGTTTTTGACCACTTTAAAAATCTTTGTTCTTCTGCTTAACCATTTAAAAATCTTTGTTCTTCTGCTTTTGTGTGTAGATTTAAAACAAACTTTTTTGTTCTTATTCCACACTGTGAGATCTGCAGGCTGCAATTTTGTAACGTCTGTCATTTAATTAAAGAATAATTGGTTTAACTTTTTAATTGTTTATATCATATTATTTGATGGCAAAATAACAATGTTACCCCAGGAGCTATTATCTCTAGTAGTAAAACTTATACTATAAGAACAGAAATATAAAGAGTGAGTCTCTTAACAGCTACGAATAAGAAATTTAGCAACTAATTCTTGTTTTTGACCAACAAATTACGAACTTCGACACAGAATTTCTTATAAATTTGATAAGACTATGTTTTTTTCTTTTAAACATAATAAGGCTATGCTATGTGTATAAATTGATGGCAAAACAAAAGCTAGTGTAGAACAACTTTACAGATATTTGGTTTTCACTTTATTTGTAGATTATTCTTAAAAGCTTAATTTAATCTCATGAACAAGAAAAAGTACAGGATGTGGCTAAACGGTCATCTAATTTGTGAAGTTAATTTTATTATTAAACACACAGAAAGCATACAAGTTAGTGAAGTTAATTTTATTATTAAACACACAGAAAGCATACAAGTTACAAAGAAAATAAAAATATGACAAAAGTTGATTTTACTTTCTATCAAGAACTATTATTGATTTTGTATTTGAAAAATCAACTCCCTCGAATATAGAAAAAAGGTAGCAGAAAAAGCATGGGCCGGCTCATTGTTTTCTCCAAATTCGTATGGCATATTTATTTCCCTCTGTAATCTGTATGATATTTTTATCTGTGTACTATTTATAGGAAAAGAGTTACAGTATTTCCTTTTCTTTTTTTTTTGTGAAACCAAGGATTATATTAGCTTAACTGGTGATTATAAGTAGAGGGCTCATCTTACATTTTACTTGCTCTTCTCATTTGTTTTGGTGAAGGTATCTAACTGTATTTAATTTATGAATTAATTTTGTAATAAAATTGGAAATCAATTAAAAGTGTTATTTCCATTAATATAGATTCAGCAAAACTCTTTTAACTTTTTGAGTAATGCTCATACATAAATGACAAACCAACATAAAAAAAAAAAAAGATAAAGCATGTAATTATTTAGTACTTAGTACTAATAAAAATCAAGATCAAAGGAACATTGCCCAAAAAAACAAAGGGCAAAGCTCATAAGTAAGCAAATAGTTGAAAATTAGCTCCACAATTCGTTACAAAGAGGAAAGAGCAAGCAATGGGACATTATCTTCACGAGGATTGCATTCAGAGGAACTGGCCTCGACCAGAGAAGGTTTGGCCGAACCACCAAGATGAAGGAACAACGTTTAGAAACGTCATTGTTTTGCGGTCTTGAAGAGTAACTCTGAAGGATAGTCTCTGTCCACGGAGATCGCCGGAGCTCTGCCAGTTGGCACCCCAATTACGAGTCATCTGTCGCCAAGTCTTCCCTCTTGAGCCTCTCACCGCAACCGCTTTCACCGCGCCGCTACCGCCAACGTTTGAGAGTATTACCATGTTAAAGTTCCCTTGACCTCTCATCGTGAACCTCACACCTCCTCTTCTTTTGCATCCAACTCTATATAATTGTTAACACAAAATCAATAAGAGATCTTTGACAAAAAAAAAAAGAAAGACAAAACTATTCTATTTTAAATATTTTTTAAAAAAATAAATATATTACATGATGCTACATTGTTAGGTAATAAATGTATTTAAGTGTTCTATCAACATTTACTAGATTACTTTATATGCGTTTGTGTTTTATATTTTACAAATATTATGTTGATAGTTTGATATAAACTCAACATTATAATTTATCAAACATTATAATTATAAAAAAGTCAATGCTAAATGGAGCATATTAATATGTTACCGGCGGTAGAAGACGGGGACGATGCCTTCGTTGCCGCGACGAGCTATGCGGAAGAAAGCAGGCATAGACATGTCGAAGTGGTGGCGGGGGAGATTGCACCAACCTCCATTATTGTTCGATGGACAGAAGTTTGTAGCCGTCACCGTCACGGCCGCTCCTCGAAGACACCACTTAGGATCCGCCCAATAGTCACACCTCACTTGGTAGCAACCACCGCATGACTCGCCGTTTCTGAATAGCGCACCACTCAGCGCCGCCGTATGGGCTCCGAATCCAGCGTGGTATGGATTGTCATACCCACAAGCTCCTCCTATAAAATATACATCGAAATGGTTGTTTAGAAAAAAAAGGTCGATATACAAAAAAATTAAATAAAAAGTATTAAAACTATGGTATATAATGGACTTTAAGTTATACCAAGTGAAGCAGGGCTATCATTAACACCATAATACGTTGCATGAGCTCTAATCCAACCATTAGAACACATCCCCACACTTAACGTACCAACCAAAAGAATAACCGTTACCAAATATTTTCCCTTCATTTCCATATGTATATTTTAGTAGATTGAGATAAAGAGAGATCAAAAGATACTGTTTTAGTTCAGAAGTGATTGCTTGATGGAGAAGGAAGCCTTGTGGACTCGTTTTATAAGGATCGTTTAGGAAGTAACGCGTTTTGTCGGTGATTATTACGACTTATTTCACTTACATGCACCACAATCTCATGCATGTGTTCGTTATCTTTCTTAGTTGGATAATTATTTTTCTATTACTCTTGAAAATTCTCAAATAATTGAAGTAGCTCTAAACGCATGAAAAATGATGCTTCTCTTTAAAAAGGAAGCTAATTTCGTATACGGTGGTTAGTTTTACTTATTACTTATGGTGAGGTAGTTTTGATAACATACGTTGATATGCAAACAATGTATGTAACAACATTTTAGTTCTAACTACAGGATACCAATATGCCTAACCTAACACTACAATATGTAGAAAAGATTGGCAGAGTTGGTTAGGATCTTTCAGACAAGAGATAAACATGTGTTAATGAAAATAAGATTACCATAGTTGACGATCATATAAGAGATCTAGCTAGCTGTATATTTAGATATTTTCAGGATTCAATTTCAATTGTCAACTGCTATCAAAAAATTTCAGATCTAATTGTTATGTCAAATTATATCTGCCAACGTTTTAGTCTATTAATTCAATTAATGCAAGTTCACGAAAATTTGGAATTAGATGATACTATATGTTATCTAAAAGATTAGATGTGAACATCCAGTTGATATATTCAGAAAACAAACGCGTTTTATCAATTATCATTACCGTTCACTATATAAAAATATATGTCATGGCTCATAGTATACAGACTTACATAATTGAATTAGAAATCGAAAGTCGAAACACACATAAAAGAATATGGACATAAACCCGCGTGGCAATACTATATTCCTATGCAGTACACAGAATGAAACAGTACGGAATCCTCACATACTCAAAAAAGTTATGTATGTAATATAGTTTGTACGGTGAATTAGAGCTTTAGGAAGAACAAAGGCATGTGGTTGCACATGGAGTTTGTGCTTCACATCCGTTAATTGCGTCGGTGGAGTTATTTATTCTTTGTAATATTTAAACAAGACATAGTTGACGCATAGAAACATAAATAGTCAAAAGAGACCTTACGAAGAAGAATTATACAACACATAAAACATGGTGGTTGAGTGATAGAGTCAAATTTTGTTTTTTTTTTTGTTTTTCGTTACTCGACCAAGAATCTTTCTATAGTTTTCTCCAACGTCTCTTTAGGAACAGCTCCAATGATACTGTCTTTCTTCTCACCGTCTTTGAATATGATCACCGTAGGAACGCTTCGTATCCCGTAACGGTTGGCTGTGTTTGGACTCTCGTCGGTGTTTATTTTGTAGAATTTGAATTTCCCTGCAAAATCCTTGGCTAGTTGGTCAACAATTGGGTGAATCATGCGACAAGGTCCACACCATGGTGCCCAAAACTCGACCAATACTGGTACATCTGACTCGAGAACCTGTGTTTGCCATTCTGAATCAGACAGGTTCGGTACTGCACAGTCAAAAACAAACCGGTTAAGTTAGGTGTGTCTCAAACGTGACTGAATAATGAAAAAAATCATAGAGAGTTGCTCCCAAACTAAATGTTAAGAGAGTTAAAAATTTGTTTAAAACAAAATATTATTATATTGTCTATAACCTCCCAAAATTAATTAAAATTCATCTTATATTGTATATAACTTCTATGAATCCAATCATGTGAGAAGTTCAACTAGTTCGGTGTTTTTATTAAATTCTCTATAACCTCTCAAATTTAATTAAAATTCATCTTAAATTGTATATAACCTCTATGAACCCAATCATGTGTTTGAAAAGAAGTTCAACTAGTTCGGTGTTTTTATTAAATTCTCTATAACCTCCCAAATTTAATTAAAATTCATCTTAAATTGTATATAAGTATATAACCTCTATGAATCCACCAATCATGTGTTTGAGGAAGTCCAACTAGTTCGTGTATAATGGAATGACTTGTCTTAACGTAACAGTTATAAATTCACCATCAGTTTATTACCAGACAGCTTTCGATAAATCACAAACGAAAGTTAAAAAGTTAAATTAGTTGTAAACCTTCTACGGCGGCGGATGCAGTGGTGTCCTGAGCCTCGCAAACGATTTTACCACCACGAGCGAATCTAGATCTGAGATTCGTACCAAGACTCGTTGACTGAGTCACTAAACTCCGACGAGAAGCTTTCAAACCTCTGAATTCCGGGACAATCCGGCGTGCGGAAACTGACTGAACAGTTGAAGTAGGTGAGATGGAGGAAGTGATGGGAAGAGAAAACACGCGGGTAACGGTGACGGAATCGAGCAAGGAAGCCATTGAGAGCGAGGAGCAGAGAGAGGTTTTTGAGTGGTGGAGAGGTGTTTGGTTTTGGTTGGCTGTTTTGATATGAATGACCCGAGAAAACCGATAGAATAGCACACACACATATGTCATGTGATGTGGATAAATTCTTGAGATTACGATTTATTTTTTTCCGCCACGTTATTCTTGCTTCGTCCTATTCTATAACGGCACCGTTTAAAGGACTAACCATCAACTTTTGGACCGGCTGATTTTAAAAATTGATTCCGGTTAAAACATGTACCAATCCGGTTTTGGCATGAGCTTAATAAAACAAAGGCTTTCAATGAGCCAACCGAGAACTATGGAGTTGACTGATATACATGACTACAAATCAGTACCAGCTTTTTTTTTTTTTTTTTTTGATAAGTATGGGAATTTCATTATCCAGCACGAGCTTGTTCAACAATCAAACCATTAATAAACCTCGTTTTCTTCTTGGTACTAAGAACGTCTAAGATCCCAAAGACCGTTTGTTATATTAGTCTCTTGGTTAACAACATTGGTGTAAACAGAGAACGTAGTCTGATACTATGTAAAAGAGTACATGATTTCTTAGAGTGCAGTCTGAAACAAAAAAATAATAACAGACAAACAAATTAAGAAGAGAACGTTATTCTAAAACGTGAATCTTTATTTCAACAAGAACATTCAATTATTTCTAACACATTAATCTCACGAAAAAAAAACAGATAGCATTTTGCAAATGAGAGGCTTTTACTTCTTATTCTTCTTCACTAGTAACTCAGCCTTCTCTTCCTCATCTTCTTCCTCGTCGGTATCGTCAAACTCTACATCGTCGTCGTCCATATCAATGTCATCAAACTCTTCCTCATCAAAATCTGTCTCCTCCTCCTCCTCTGAAGAGCTGCCTTCGTTGTTCACCACTCGCTTTCCCTGACCCGCCTCCATTTTCTCCGACACAGCCTCCTCCTGAATAAAGAAGGAACCGAAACCGGGTTGCATAACCGGAAATGTTTCAGAGAAAACCGGGTATTGACTAGGCACCGTCTGGTTAAGACAAAGCAGAGACCTAATAGCTGGTCCAGTGTTCTGCATTGTCTCTGGGAGATTAGCGACACGTCCACGGAAGAGTAAACTCGCCACTGATTTCCCGTCGCGAATGAGTAACCTCGCCGCCGATGATGAAGCTGAAGCCATATTTGATCGTAGTGTTCGTGTGTGTGTGTGACTGTGACTTTTAAGTGAAAGGACGGCTAATAATATACAGAGAGTGAAGGGTTTAGGGTTTTTCCGTAGAGTACACGTGGATGGTCCGATGAAGCTGATATAGAAATTTATTTGCATAAACCGACACCTGTACATTTACGTGTAAAAGTAAATAAGTTAAAACAGTTTTCCTCATTTTCCTGTGATTATGAAGTTGAATCTGTGTGTTCCGCATACGGACGGCGCGTGAGCGAGCATGCCATTGTTGGAACCGTGTTCATTCCATTTAAAAATCTTTGTTTTTCTCTACATCGTACTTTTCCCACCGTCACCTTGTCTGAGATCTGGCTCCGGCCTGTATCTATGGTGCGAGACAGTTTGGTGTCTGGAGTAAAGATGCAGTAGTGGGAAGGTCTCTGCGGTGGATAGGTGGTTCATCGGTTGAAGGTTCGTTTCCAAGAGGGGGAGGTTTCCACAACTCCGTCGCCAACGTTTTTTTCTCCAGGAGGTGGAGGTTCCCTTAGTTCTGCCGTCGTCGGTTCTGTTCTCGGGAGGGGGAACACTACAAGAAAACACTGGAAATCCTGACGAACGTTCCGACGGAAACTTAGGTTGTCGGAAAATGCCGATGATATTCCGACGACATACCGACGAAAACCACAAAATCGAAGTCGTCGGAATTTCGTCGGAAAATTTCCGACGGATTCCCGACAAAATACGTTCGTCGGAATATTCCGACGAAATTCCGACGATATTCCGATAAAATTATTTGACTGTTGGGGTCGTCGGAAATGCGTCGGTAAATCCCAACGCAATTCCGACAAATATTCTACCCGTTTGTACACTCGGAGGCAGAGGCAGAAGTTGGCGAGTTTGACGAAGATTCTGAAGATTCATCCAATGAATCTATTCACTCTCAAGATTCTGAAGTTTAGTTGAATGTTTAATAAAAAATGTTTAATAAAAAAATGATGGACTTGTTTTTATTTTTAGTAGAATGTTATTTGCGGTCAAGTTAGTAATTTTTTTTTAAAAAGTGAAACATATCTTAAAACTCTAATTTATTATCAAATACATGATTCATTTTTTTATGTTTAGTTAAATGTTTAATAAAAAAATGATGGACTTGTTTTTATTTTAGTAGAATGTTATTTGCGGTCAAGTTAGTAATTTTTTTTAAAAAGTGAAACATATCTTAAAACTCTAATTTATTATCAAATACATGATTCATTTTTTTATGTTTAGTTAAATGTTTAATAAAAAAATGATGGACTTGTTTTTATTTTTAGTAGAATGTTATTTGCGGTCAAGTTAGTAATTTTTTTTTTAAAAGTGAAACATATCTTAAAACTCTAATTTATTATCAAATACATGATTCTATCAAAAATAGAGTATTAAGATGATATGTTATGAAACTATGATACATATATATGTATTATTTTATAAGTCGTAAAACCCGAATGTTTGCGATCAAGTAGTATACTCCACACTTATTACGTGTTTTTAACATAGTTTCGGTATACAAATTTACATATAACTATAGTTAAGGATTTTTAAAAAATCAGTCGTCAGAAATCCGTAGGTATTTTCTGACGGATTTCCGACGAAATCCCGGAAAATAGAGGTTTCGTTGGAAATCCGTCGGAAAATACCTACGGATTTCCGACGCTTTTAGGTTTCGTTTAGGGTTTTAAAATACGTCAGAAATCCGTAGGTATTTTCCGAAGGATTTCCGACGAAACCTCTATTTTCCGAGATTTCGTCGGAAATCCGTCGGAAAATACCTACGGATTTCTGACGACTGATTTTTTAAAAATCCTTAACTATAGTTATATGTAAATTTGTATACCGAAACTATGTTAAAAACACGTAATAATTGTGGAGTATACTACTTGATCGCAAACATTCGGGTTTTACGACTTATAAAATAATACATATATATATGTATCATAGTTTCATAACATATCATCTTAATACTCATACACTTATAAAATCATATTAATCCAATCTTACAATACTAAAACTATTTTAAAAAAAATTGTGTTATAAATATTTTTTTATACTCAATCCTTATTCAAATACTCTATTTATTAACAAATATATGGATTATTTTTAGTTATACTTTTCTATATTATTTTTTAGAGAATTTTTTTTTTTTTTTTAAATATCAAATATCGTCGGTATTTTCCTACGGATTTCCGACGAATTGGTAATTTATTTACCCGGGAACCCAAACCGCGTGAAATTTTCACTAAACCGCGAATTAATTTTTGACCGACGGAATACCGACGAAACCGGTTCCGTCGGTCGGTTTAATGTACAAAAACCCTAATTTTCCTTCTTCTTCCTATTTCCTCTCTTCTCTTCTCGCGAATCCTCTCCTCTCCTCTCTCCCCTCTCCGGCGGCTCTCCTCTCCTCCCCTCTCTCCCCTCTTCCCGGCGTCTCTCCTCTCTCCCCTCTTCCGGCGGCTCTCCTCTCCTCTCTCCCCTCTTTCCTCCGGCGGCGGCTCTGAGTTTCCCGGCGAGATCCTTCCTCTCCTCACGTTTCTCCATCATGTAAGCTATCTCTTCCTTTGTATATTAGATTAAATTAGGGTTTAATCCGGAAATTAGGGTTTTAAGATGTTAGATTTGATTGGATAGTTTAGGTTTAATTTGCATGTTTAGGATTAGGATTAAATTAGGGTTTAAGATGTTAGATTTGAGGTTTTGAGGATTTGAGGTTGTAAAAACTTAAAGGTTTGATTTTTGAGAATTGTTTTTAATTTTTAAAACGTTTTCTAATTTTAAAAAACGTTTTTTAATTTTTTTTAAAAACGTTTTTGGGTTTTCCAGTAATATTATAACTACTAAATATGTTTTTATATATTTAATAATTGTATTTATGTGTTTTACAATATTTTTAGAAATATTTAACAAATTTTTCTATATTTATGAAGGTTTATAAATAATTTTTCTATATGTAAAAACCATATTTCTAATATAGAAACATACATTTATAAAATTTTCTATATTTAAAAAGGTTTCTAAATAATATTTCTATATGTAAAAACCATTTTTCTTAAAAACGTTTTTATTTTATTTTATAATTATTAAAAACGTTTTTATTGTTTTTTATAATTATTAAAAACGTTTTTATTTTATTTTATAATTATTAAAAACGTTTTTATTGTTTTTTATAATTATTAAAAACGTTTTTATTGTTTTTTATAATTATTAAAAACGTTTTTATTGTTTTTTATAATTATTAAAAACGTTTTTATTTTATTTTATAATATTTTATATACTTAAGAACTTTTTTACAATTATTTTAATTTTATATATATATAATATTATAAGTTTTTAATTTTAAATTACATTTATTTACGAATTTAAAACAAAAATTTTAAAATGAAAAATTAATATAATTTTTTTTTTTTTAAAATTAAATCAAACTTACCGACGACATAGGTCGTCGGAATCCATCGGTATATTCCGACGAAAGCAGGCGTCGGTATATACCGACGACATATTTCGTCGGAATATACCGACGACATATATCGTCGGAATAAACCGATGGATTTCTCTCGACATATACCGATGGATTTCTGATGATGGTTTCCGTCGAAGTGTCGTCGGTAGTTCGTCAGAATTACAGTCTCTCGGAATTCGTCGGAATTCGTCGGAAATTGTCACGGATTTCCGACGAATTTTTTTTTTCCGACAAAATGATACCGACGAACAACTTCGTCACGGTTTCGTCGGAATACGCTTATTCTGACGGATTTCCGACGGTTTTGGCAGCCGGTATCCTTCTGTTTTCTTGTAGTGGAAGCTTACAGAGCTCCATCGTCGCCGTCTAGTTTTTGGAGGGCGGAGCCTACCATAGATCTACGCTGCCGGCTTGGAACCCGTAGGAAGCCTTGGGTGTTAGTGGTGAAGGGTTTTTGGATTGTCATTCTTGTCGGTTTGGGTGGGCTAGGGTTATACCGGATGAGGTATCAGCAGATGATAAAGCTCTCTGATGTTTCCATCGACAAGAGAAGTTAATTGAGGTTGAGATGTCGGAATTTATTCCCGAGAAAGTGATATGGTGATCTTGAAGAGTTTTCGGTATGTCCGATTGACGATCTCGACGGAGGACCACCGATAATAAAGGTAGATGATGTACTTACTTTCGTTAAGGTGCTACTCTGAGTCCGGCCCGGGTGGAGGCAGAGGGAGGCACATGCAAATTAAGGTGAGTCGTGAGGATAGGGTTTCCGCAAATCAGTGGGTTCGATTTGGGCCTTAAGCCTAATTTTGTTTTAGTGTTTAAAGTTTAGTTTGGATTGGACTCGGGCATTTTTTTGTCGGCCTTGGGATTTTGTTAATGTTTTGGACTGTGACCATTTTATTTAATATAAAAATTGACGAAAAAAAAAATGAAGTTGAATCTTAAAAGTCAACATAATATCGTTGACCTTTTAAACTTGCTTATTTTCCGAGAGCTGAAAAGGTAGCTGCTCTCTGAAAACTGAGTTTCAAGATGATAGAATCAATACCGGCCCTGAGGGGAAGCATTACAAGCAACCGCTTCCGGCCCTAAAAAAATACTTGAAAAATTTCAACCTTTTTTATAAGAAAATTATTATTATAGTATATAAATGTTCTTATAAAAATGGCCAATTTTTTGAAAATTGCTTCTGGTCTTTCCCATGTCAGGACCGGTACTGATAGAATAATTATCTAATAAAATCAATAGGCATGAAAATCGAGAAAACCAGACTGAAAAAACCAAAACCGATAACTGATAACCGAACCATAATAACTAAACCTACGATTCTATAACAAAATAATTGAAACCAACTCAGAATCAAACCGGGAATCAAATGGATATCTACAGATTTGAAATACAATTTATATACCTAAAAATATTAATCTATTAATAATAGTAATCTTAACTAATGTTGGAAGGTTGTTTCGTTTCAACTTAAACATTGTATTTGTATAAGAGATTGTTAAAAGGTGCCTTTTCTTAAAAAGTATTTTTAATGCTAGAAACTAC